TTGGCAGTAAAAATCGTAAGGGATTTTTTGGTGGAAAAAATATTTCTAAGAAACCAATTTTATTTGAATCCAAAATCAGTACGGCTAGCACGAAAAACTTTCGAGTGCGAATCGTTTGCGTATTCGAATCGCCATCAAAAGATTTAGTACGAAAACTACAACAGCGCCCTTGTGAACGTGTCATAAAGTGAACTTAGTATGAGAAATGGTTGCACGAAACTTATTTTGAGAATCAAAACTGTCACGTTATCGTAAAATTCGAAGGTTCAGTATCGAATTTTGTCGAATACGCAAATGATTCGAAGACCAAAGTTGTTCATACTAGAGGTACTGAGGTGGAATTGTGTAAAGCAATCGTTATCGATTACGATTGCTTTACACAATTCCACCTCTGAACAGTAAATTCATGTTTAAAAATAATAAAACATTGATTCTCCAATAAGATCATGTTGTCTTGACGAGCATTGTAATTTAGCGTTTGTGCATTGCGGTCAATTTTATTACGTTGATAGTTTACGGGCTGTCCGGCAGTTTGAATAAATAATAAATACATAGTAAGAGTTTACTGGTGGTGGGTGTGTGTACTGGTAATAAAAATAAAACGTGACTGCATTAGCGCTGCGAGGGCAAAAGGTTTCTCCAATAATCTATGACCTCCTCCCTCCGCCTTAAAATACATGCCGAGATTATTAAGGTCACGATATAATTATGCACCCGAGCATACAAGGATAAATTAAAGAAAGCGACATGAATGAAACAAAGCGAATTTGCAAGCATAGCGTGCTGCATATAAAGCAGAGGACCGCAAACTTTTTTGTTTGTCAGTCATTTTGTTTCTTTTAATAAACAACCGATGATACGCTAGCTAGATCAAGGATATATTTCTGTAGTCAAAGATGAAAAAGCACCCCACCGTCATTCACGTCAAGATATTTCTGTATGAGAAAGGCGTGAGTTCGTTTTATTTTTTAAACGATTTTATTTACTCTAATTAGATTACTGTGTCTGACTTTAAAAGGTGTAAAAGAGACAGATATACATACAGCAGTGATGGCCAACAGGTCGACCGCGGTCTACCGGTCGATTTTGGTAGCCCGCGAGAGTTAAATAAACTGAACAGAATGCTTGAAAATGAAAAATGTTTTATTTCACTCTTCACTGTACTTGCACTAAACTGTACCTTGCAGTCGACCGCTAGAAATATTTTCAAGCATAAGTAGACCTCACAGGTCAAAAGTTTGGCCACCCCTGACATACATGGCGACAAAAAGTTATCCTTGCGCGCGCGCGCTTTTACGTGTCGAATAGCACTATAATGGGGGTATTTTTCACGTAACAATTAGGTCTTACGTATCTATTTATTACGTATCATACTCCATTAAAGTACTAATAGATCCAAGACGCAACACCACTTTGGCGTGGCCTAGTTTTTGTTTTTGTGATTAATGACTCATAGAATGTATTCTCCCTGCGCGGAAAATCAAGCACTGGAATATGACGTCAACTAACAGCTTGCAGTCTCACTCTTTACCAAACGATTGAAAAAATCACTCTAGAAACCGACATTTACGAGTACTGTGCTAAATACTTTAGTAACGATGCTAGGATAGTGGTTTCAGTAGCGTAATGCAGTTAACTAGCAAGCAGGCCACTGTATTAGGTTTAATCTAACTAATCTAACACTGTTGGAAGTGTGTTCCGTAACAAACACAGAAGTAAACTTAAGCTACATAAAACAACGAATTCGCATAAATAACGATATATACAGGGTGATGAGCCGACACTAGCCCATGTTAACATGGTCATATAAATGGTATGGTGAAGTCAGAAAATTGATATCTTCATTTCAATTTTTTTAATTTTCATACAAATCGGATTTTGTAAAATTTATTTTGTATGAAAATTTAAAAAAATAAAATGATGATATCAAATTTCTGACTTCACCATACCATTTATATGACCATGTTAACATGGGCTAGTGTCGGCTCATATACCCATTTACCTAACACCCTGTATACGGAAAGTTTCTGGCAGAGCGTGCAACGGTTTGAAAAGAATACGCGAAAATTGGGGTCAGTCGGTGACGTGCATTTAGGTTGGGAAAGCTTAATTCGAGATGTGAACTGTCGCGAGCTAATCATTATGATGTCTAAAAAAATAGAATAACAAGAATATTAATAAAGAAAGTATTATTTTACACATATATCTCGCTTAAACGATTTTTGGATAAGAGTAAGATTAACCGAATCAAATCCTTATGTCATGTCGTCAAATATGTATAAAAATATGTCGCGTAAAATATGTCGTATTATAACTATACTATACATATAGGGCGCAGGTAAAAACTCGTGGCATGTGCAGTGTGCACCTGGACGATTACGCGACACGATATGTACCTATTCTATCGGCTATCGGAAAAAGTAGATGAGACGGTTATGGAGTTAATCGCACGTGCATTGCGGCTACTTGAGACGCTTGTCGACACCTTTTGACTATCTTCCCAAGATATAGTTCCAAAATACTGAACTGTCCTATGCATGACATTGACAGTGGGGCGCCACCGTCAATACCGGAACGCTGGTTCCGATTTTTGCCATGTTGGAAACCATATAGTTGAACGATGGTAGCGCCCCCCTGTCATTGAGTTTGGTGGGACAGTTCAGCGTGGGTCATCTATATCTCCAAAAGAATAAGGGTTAAAGTGATGTGAGCTGACGGGAAGGATCTGCGAGAGACAAAATATGCAACCTGCATCCTGTTTTACAGATTAATCAAAGTGACAGAACAAAAGGGTAAAGCCCAACATAGCCATCCGGCGTCCCCGTTCCAGAATAGCATGCGTGGGCATTTCTACTCGGCAAAATGTATATTCTCCTGCCGATGAGCATCACCTTCAGACAGATTATTGATTTTCTCAATCCTGTTTTTACTGACGGAGTGTAGATGACAGGCCTGACGGTAGGCAATATGAGGCAATAAGATACGGAATTGTAAGCTTTATGGTACGTAAATATATGATTAAAACTATATTGTTTTAAACTTTCATGGTCATTAACATAATAATTAATTATTATTTTATGTACTCCGTGATCATGGCGATTGCAACAGTGCCGAAATATCGGAAACTCGAAATTAAGGTACATGGTAGCAATGGCAATCCCGTCAATAATAATTATTATGAATCAAAATGACTGACTACGAATTAATAAAATACGTAAGTAAAATTGCCGTAAGAGCGTCTATAAAAGATTATCCTCACAGAAGTAAATTCACAATAAAATTGTTTAACAAAAACAATTATTGACCTACAGAGATAATGCTGCAGAGGACAGTACCAACACATACGTGAATGTGAATGCATTTTCCATTAATGTTAATTTTTAATGATGTCTAGATTATTAAAAGCAGGAATGCTTAATAATTACCCTTATAAGAAGGCTTCAGATTAATAATGGAGCATAATTATAGCTCAGCCTTTGTTCTCACATTGTGTGCTTTGTAATAAATTCTCAGATTGTTTTGTATCATTTAAAAATGCAAGAGTCAGTTGCTTCAATTATATTGATGGTTGTTTCAGTGATATCCATAGCTTATGAACATATTAATATTGCCTGTCTTCACCAGTCATTTTTGTCATAGAATTTCCAATTACATATCAATGCAAAAATTAAAATTAAAGCGTATTATTATGTCAAGAAGGGTCATTAAAAATAAAATTACTCCACTGGTTTTCTTAACATGTTCAGTGTTCAGCGGGGCACCTAGAACTACCAGCTATTGGAATATTTTAGCCCGTACACTTGTCTAATATAATGCCTTATTTAGAGTCAATTTTAGTCAGGAATACTTCGTTTGTAAATATTGTTTTATGAGTTTTTTTTTATTTATAAGTTGACTTTACAATCAGAGTTCTACTGAAAATAACAAAATTGATATCATGATAAAGTTTTCTTTAAGTACAAAAATGGTTTATTTTCAAGATACATACATATGTATTTGTAGCTTTTTTTAATATTTTGCTACTTAATTTTCATACTTGAAATATTATCTTTTAATAAATAATAATCATTTAATAAATTTATCTTAGATATAAAATTTTATTGAAGAAACCCATACATGCTTATATCAACTGTAGTGATATCTCATTTTCTCCCAACTTTATAATATGGTATTATTTAGAAATACCCATCTAGGCTACTCTGAAGGCAAATACTGCAAAGTTGAAAATAAAATAGAAGTGGGCATATAATATAATTAGTATACTTAGTGCATTGTCTGTAAGACATCGGCAAATTACAGAATATGTAAATGTTGTCCAAAACAATAACATTTAGTTCCAATTAACATAAGAACTCAATTCTGAATACAGCCATGTCCATGTGTAAAGATTTATTATTTTTTCAATGAATCAAGCTTATTCTCTATTTCCAAATAATTTTGTGATAAGGTAGTTTTACCCTCACTTTGAATAAAATATTGAATGTTTTGCAATAGTAATGTTCACAAAAAGTATATAAATCCGTAGAACATTGGAGAGCCAGAGAATAAAATTTAAAAGAATAAAGATTAAAGTCTACTTACCATTATTAGCTGAGCCTGGATCATTTTCTTCAGTCTTCCACTTGTTCAATTTAAATACAGTCCATACTAACACAATTTATGAAATATAAAATACTAACTATGGAGTTAACAATACAACAAATTATTTACACAATAAACCTCAACCTTAATTTTACAGGATAACTATAAAAACTTAACAAGAACTTTTAACAAGATCAAAACATTGTCATTTTGACTGCCTGCCTCCTATCAAATCTGTCTTGACAAAACTGTACAAACTTAACTAAAACAAATGAGTAACGATACTTGCATAGGTGTCGAATGAACAGACGTAAACAAAGCATTGGTTTACTGAAAACAAACGAATAAACAGCAAAGCGATCAGGCATAAAATTTATAGTTAGTTTCAAATTGGAATATTCCTTTTCTACTGTACCTACATTGCGTAAAATTCACATTGCACTATTATAACTTCTCTATCTCACTACAATGAATTTAGAAAGTCCTAAAATAAGTGCATGTCTTTTTAATAAAATTCAGAATTGACAAGTTTAACAAATCGTCTCCCACTGCATTTTGTACAATCCTACGCCATATTTGCAGAGACAGATGCTGCCAGACGAAAAAAAGAAATTTAATTTTGCAAGTAGTAGTTTTCTATTACATATCTGTGCCTGTTGTGGAATAAAATTGCAAATTAAAATTAATTTTATCTTTCCTTTTCAAAAGTAAACATTTGAATGTGTGGACTCACTACGAGCTAGTTTACAACTTTCACTAGTACTCGTATCTTTTGATGCGCGCTCACATCTAAAAACGGATGGTTTGGATACACGCGACTTTAGGTCTGCACTGCGTCGTCTCCTACCTACTTAGATTAATAAAATCTAAGCCTACCTACAACAAATCAATCGTTTCAGCCAAATGACGTCCACTGCTGGACAAAGGACTCCCCCACAAGGTTTTCCACAATGAACGTCGCCCGCATCTAGGCTCAGTGGCGGCGTAGCATGGGTTGGTACCCGGGGCGGTGACACCCCCCCCACCCCCGTCACAAGTCCTATGGCACCCCCTGGTACCTTCCCAGGATTTTGGGGTTACCTACCGATTCGAAAGACAATCACACCCCCCACCCCTATCATGACATAGACCGCAGATTTGCCATGCAGATGTGCCAGTGAGTACTAATCTGCGCGACTTGNTACCTTCCCAGGATTTTGGGGTTACCTACCGATTCGAAAGACAATCACACCCCCCACCCCTATCATGACATAGACCGCAGATTTGCCATGCAGATGTGCCAGTGAGTACTAATCTGCGCGACTTGTGTCACCCCCTGATGCTTGGCACCCGGGGCGGACCGCCCCCACCGCCCCCCCCTTACGCCGCTACTGTCTAGGCTCTTCCCGCGACCTTTACCAGATCGTCGGCCCACCTAATAGGAGGCCTACCCACGCTACGTCTTCCAGCCCATGGTCGCCACTCGAGAACTTTCCTGCCCTAACGGCCATCGTTCCTACGAGCTATGTGCCCCGCCCACTGCCACTTGATTTTAGCAATTCTGCGAGCTATGCTACCACTTTAACTAAAACTAAATTACATGTAGATAGGTAGGTAAACAGAATTATAAAATAAAAAAGAAAAATATAAACAAAAAATTGAGGTTTAAAAAGTTACATTTTCGGTGTGTAGCAGAAGCAAAAGGTACTAGTCTCAGCATAATGTTGAGCTACAAGCTCAACGCTGATTTTCAGATTGGCCCAGAAACTGGTCGATTATGTTGGTAGGATAGTGTGTGTTTTTGAAGCGCATGTTAATTTCTGTGTCTGTGTAAGTGTTTGAGTGTGTTTTAACTAAGTAATATGTGTTTTTGTTTTGTGTTATTAGGTGTTTTGTGTTTTTATAATACCTAAATGTTAGGGTGTGTGTTTCGTGTTGCATTGGGCACTAGTACCTCCATGACTGTGGGGGGTTTGCATTAAACACACGTCCATAAAGTTGCAAAAAAAGTAAATAGCATCACATTATTCACATCGTTCGTTTCAGCTGGGTTCAGCCAAATGACAAAGGCCTCGCCCGAGGATTTCGACAACGATCGTTCACGACTTCCACATCACCTAATATCTCGTAAAATTCGACTTCTCGATAATCTATCGACTTCTTTAATCTCTTTGCCAAATGCCTTCGTCATAGAGTCGTCTAGAATACTCTGAAGCGATCGACTTCCATAGTTACAGTCGTATATACATATACATTGTACTTGTATCGTTGACACTTTTGCACTTGAGATTAAAATCGATATTTCTAAAAAGGTCACCTTGCCCGCCCTGCTTCCCCTCAGTAGGTGTGGGAAGATTGGCAGCACTGGCAAGCAAAAAACAGATTAAAAAACGTAACTGTCTTTGTGCTAGGGTGGGACGAATTTGTATCGATTCTGCATACCGAATATTAATTTATTAATCGAATAATCAAATCAAATTGTATTATCATTTTTATAAAATTATAAAATATTTATTGAAACAAAAAGAACCTGTAATAAATTCTCACATTAAATCGTTATTTACTTTTTGAATAATGATCAAATCAAATTTTCCTAATTTACTAACTCAGCTACGGGTTTTATAAATAAGCAAAATTTTACGTTTTACAGCTTCAACATATGAGGGTATTTCGCCGAAACAGTAAATTTTCTGTGTCCAGGCAGGCGAACACATGTTTTTTTATATCTATCTGTATAAAACTATTTTTATGGGAAAGTTCATCAAAAGTTTTATTTGTTTTTGCTATTACAATAGCAGAAACTACAAATAATACCGTACAAAAACTTAATCAAAAGTCGTTTTCCTAATTTCCTTGTTATGTCCATTACTGTTATTTGCCAAAATGAAGGCTCATTATAACAAATTGAAGCGTAATTTAATTCTAATAGCACTCTCTTTACATTTGAGAAACGTTTGGCTATCGGAAAATAAAAACTTTAAATGTCAAATACTTATAGGAAGAAAATAAAGTGAAGTTAAGTTCTTGTCCAGGTCAAAAGTATAATTTCCCTGGGTCTTCGTTTCGACCATTGTTGTAACGAAACGAAAAAACTTAGAATGTAACGCACTGCACCACTACACTCGGCCATTTCGTCCCAAGAGGCCATTGAGGCAGGACAGTACGTCGTTGATCAGTTTCGCGACAAATCGCATAAATAGGTCCCTCCTTGGGTTTTTGTTTACTAAAAAGTCAATTTCTTTGGACGGTTTTTTGCAACTAAACAATGGTTTAATTTTATTGTTTATTTACACAAATGTAGTGTCCGTAGGGGTAAACCCATGATTTAAATAGTAAATGCATAGGGTAAATAGGTTTTTGTCTGTGGTGTCTTTTAGGCATAAAACTAATTTCTTTGGTCCTAATTTCCTTGTTTTCCGTGGCATAAAATGACCTAGGAAATTATAAAAGACCATTAATAATTCGGCGTAAAGTCAAATTTTGAGTATTTCTTTATTGGAATAAGTTTAAAATTTACATTTTAGTATCGGAATAAATATAGAAAAACTTGTTTTTAACTTTTAACTCAATCTACTGCATTTATCTTCCTTAGTTGTGTAAAAAGGTCGTAATGATATAATATTAATTGGCATGTTTGCTTGCGAAAGTACACAAAAATAGGTCGAACAAAAAAAAAGCAAACCACAGAAGAAAACTTAGAGAAAAAAATATTTATAATAATTTCCTTGGCTACCAAAAAGGATGATGGGCACAAATGTATGGAAAGTGGTACCCGCTCCAATAGCCATAACCAATATATATTTTAAAAGGCCTTTAGATGTAGGAAAATGTCTGCTATGGGGCCAGTTCTAATTCACGTTTTGAAAGCAGTAATTCCACTAAGTAAATGAAAGTATAACACAATCATCCATGTATACAAGTATGCACTATCACTACAATCTATTAATAATCCTAACCAAAAAATCATTGAAAAGAAAACATAGAGCCTACGATGAACTAAGAAAGCTATTAGCCCTTTATTCGCTTTCATCATCATCATCATGATCATTTTAGCCATAGGACGTCCAGTTGAACATAGGCCTCCCCCAATGATTTCCACAATGGCCGGTTAGTGGCGGCCTGCATCCAGCGCCTTCCCGCTACCTTTATGAGGTCGTCGGTCCATCTTATGGGTGGACTTATTGGGTCTTGTGGGTTTATTCGCTTTAGCAACCCATAATGAAACTCTTAATTAAGAAGTAATAAAACTTTAACCTCTTTAATAATCAAAGTTACACCCTAGTTAACTCTGGCTTAAATTGTCATTTGGTATGGAAATGACATTTTAGTCCATGTTTCTTCCTGGGTGTAACTTTTTATTAATAAGGGGGTAGTAGTTCTTTAAATAAAAATATTTACTTCACAATTATCCCTATCAATAATTGTTATAGAGTTAAGGAAGGATGCTGGAGCAGTAAACCCTTCATGCCTCGCATAACCTAAGTACCATACGATGGACACGTTGATACTTTGGTTACACAAAAAGTATAATTATCTTCGAACGCAACCAGATCTGAGGCTGGTGGCCATAGTAAATGTTGTTCGTCTTGGTAAGACCTTTCAAATGACACTTCAAACATAACTATTGGAGCCGGGTACCATTCCGCAAAAAAGTATGTTTATCTTCGAACACAACCAGATCTGAGGCTGGTGGTTATAGTAAAAGTTGTTCATCTTGGTAAGACCTTTCAAACGATACTAGACACATATCTATTGGAGCCGGGTACCATTTTGCCCATTGTCCTTTATGACCTCATAACTTTGTTTCTAAAACGAATTATGACAACCCTTCTAGATATATTAGCTTAGTTTTTACTAATTATTAATGCTATGGGAATCTAAAAATAGTTAAAAACAAAAATAAAATTCGTGCCAAGGAAATTAGGCAAAATTGACCATTTTTGGCGAAATACCCATGAACCTCAAAAAATACAATTCCAGCTTGAACTAGAAAACATCATAATTTATTAATTAGCATCTAAAATAATACATCGTATTCTTTTTTCATGAAAACAATAGTCACTGCATGAATCTGTTTGGCGCTAGAGAGACGGACGGTGGGCGCCACCGGTAATCTGCATTACAAGTTATATTTACAGAAGCTAACATCGACAATTTATAGTGGCTGTAATAGCGTTTTTTTATGCTCATTTATAGAAGCTGACTTATTAATTCAGAGGACAATATAGATTTTTAGTGAACAAAACTACTTTTAAAAAGAAGCCGGTTTAATTACTACTCAAATCAAATTAGGTATGCTGTCAAGTCTTGGCACTTCTTTAAAAGATGAACTACACTGAACCGTCCCACCTCACCCGTAACATTGTCAGGGGGGCGCCACAGTCAATACCAGATCGCTGGTTCCGATTTTTGCCAGGTTTGAAAACACTGAAATCAATGTCATTTGCAGGAGGGCGCTGCCATCAAATCCAGGTTACTATTAATTTTCAATCTTTGAAGTTTCAAAATCGTTAAACTATAGGAGGGATAGGCCTGTTTTGAGAAATAAAAAAGTCATCTCAATAAATTAATACAATACTATTAATTTCTGTAACTTGCTGATAATGTGCCAAATAAATGTATTTTTCTTTCTTTTTTACAGAAGTGATTATTTGAAGTGCAGATTCTACTATATCGATTGTTAGTTATTCGATTACTTACAACCCTACTCATGCCATTGCCTGGCTGAATCGCAAGCTGTCTGTTTGTGGTTTTTGATGATACAACACATCGTTTTGACTCTCTATTTATTTGGAACTGATTTCTTTCTTTGCAAAGTTTTATTTTGTTTGTAAAATGAGTGAGTAAAATTTTGCACAACATGTTATTTCCCGTTAAACACCATAATAATTGTGTTACAAATATTGCTTCAGATCATGGTGAGGACAGAGAAAATCTCAGCGATTTTCTTGGAGAAGCTGAACTTCAACAATATTATGAACTCTTCAGGTAATTTTTGACCGTTTATAATTTTCGTTATTTTGTTTTAAGTTTTTATTAGTTTTCGTCATTTTTATGATACACTAACATACTCGGAGTGCTTTTAAAACGGCCTCTTCTGGGCGTACCGGTGGTTTTTGCCCATGCGAATTGAATCCTCATACATATTAATCACTTTGCGCAGTTGCATTTGTAAAACTGATATATAAGGACATTAACAAACTGCCTTGCGAATATGTTTATGATATTTTTGTTATTGCAAACTTTTTTGTTCAAGTGCTTTAAATAATTTTGAGAAGTACTTTTCGACCACGGTCCATTTAGATCTTGAAGTCGTAGTTTGAATTATTAATACATTTTGAGGTATATTCCAGACAATTTCAGTTATCTATCTCATTTATATATTATGCCTCTCTCTATTAAAATGATTTCTGATGTACTGTTAAATCAAATTATTAACAAAAACATTTTCATCTTCAAAGTATCATATCAGATTATCCTTTAGACATAATATCAAACAAAAGTGATGCTTAGTAAGGCTGGCTTAGATATTTAGGTCATGTTAGTCACAAAAATGATTGTGCTAACAGTTACCTTTATTTGGTTCTTGCACAATACAAACATGCTTATTGATGACTGTCATTTGGATCCTGCAAATATTTAGTCAATCACATCTTGCCAATGGTTTGGGTTTCAGGATTATTTGTTGCTTCCAAAATTGGCTGCAGAAAAACAGATGCAAATCTGTGTTTATTTTAAGCAGAAAAATTACAGACAAATTATTCATAAACTTTTGATTAATTATGAAATTACTTGCACTTTTTTGTATTGGGTTTATTTGCATCACAGCATTTTTCTAGTTGTGCTGACATCCTTGACTGCTTGGCTTTATTTTTTGTTTTTTAATATTCTATTATATTGACATTGCTTTTTATTTTCTAAAGCTGTGATTTTTCTACACCTAATAATGTGCTATGCATTTGTCGGACCGATGATCCAATATTAATTATGCATGTCTATAGGTAAATAGGAAATTCAACTTTTGTTTTCTTTGTTCCAGGGACATTTTGAAGGTCACGAAAGTGTCCCAACTTAAATTTGTAGTGACCGAAGACTTGGTTCATATTGGACTATCGAAGCCAGAACAGCGCCGATATAAAAAGATATATTCGAAATACTTTGCCCACTCATACATTCACAAAATAAAGAAACTACTAACCTCAAATAAAAAACATGAAACTGTAAGACCTACTACAATTTTTTTTATTTTTTTTTTAAATATGATTTGTGTATTGAAATATCTTTTGTTCTTTCAGCACTTGCCAGCCCATTCATCAATGGCTTTAGAATTACCACCGTTTCCGGAGACTACTTTCAAAGTTCCTACCAAGCACATCATCTCTATTGAAGACATAACCATCAATAAAGAATTGGGGATGGGTCAGTTTGGAGTTGTACAACAAGGCACCTGGTCGACTGGAAATCAGAGGGTAAGAATTAAAGATAATTATGACTTTTGTATTGCATGTTCATGGTTAGATGTTTACTAACTTTAACTCTTTTTCCTGCAAGCTGCAAGTTGCCATAAAATGTTTGGGTCATGAGCGCATGACTTCAAACTCCACGGAGTTCCTCAAAGAAGCAGCGGTTATGCACAGCATCGAGCATCCCAACATTGTTCGACTGTATGGTGTGGTGCTGCACTTGGACTCACTAATGCTGGTAAGTCAATGATTATTGTTTACTATTAGGACTAATTATTTTTATCATAATTCATCTAAAATAATTTATGAAGAGAATGAGATGAAGCGACCTAGTAATAAGCTGTTCAAGAAATAGGCAAATGTCAAGAAATAGGTAAATGTTTTGATCAGACTTGTCGATCTGGATTTGTATCCAAGCGAGTTATTTGTAATTGCTTTGTCTGCATTATGCGAGTGTTAAGGTTGACAGTCTGTTGTGTAGCTCTATAATTAGGTTTATTTAACTATGACGTAATTACACACAGTTGGTAGTGTTTACTTATTTATATTTGATTTGGAATTTTGATTATGGGCAACTTTTGATTGGTATGAAGAGGCAGTAACTAAGTTAGCAGGTAAATGAAATGTCATCAGCAGCGGTTTTGTTGAGCACTACGCCACGGTAACTACGCATTATTGACGATGAGGGCCTGAAGACGAACCACACACAATGTGGATCATATTGGCAATCTTTAGCAAATTAAGGTGAAGTCCTAATTTATTTGTTCAGTGAAATGATGTGACCTTAATCCAGACATTATTATTATTATTGACTCCAAGCTTTTGGAAACATGTTAAGAGTTTAAACAATATGTTAGAGGAGTTGAAGTTTCGACTTCTTTTGATAAGTTTTCTTGTTTTGGGATCCTTACACAAAGTGCTATAGAAATTTTCTTGGTTTTGATTAGATTAGAATCTTTCAAAGAAGAGTGCGAAGCGTTGGTGTTTTCTGAAACCTGATTTAAAAGCTGCTGATAAGTCAATAGGCATTACTGATTGACTTCTAGAAATAGGGAAACCCAGAGTTGAAACTTCATCCTTTTGTGGAAATATGAATAGAATAGGTGTGGAGAACTGAAGATAATAAAAGTAGGTATGACTACTAAGTAGCATAAAAATCCGACTGTAAGCTGAATGTGAGGATAGATTCTATCCGATAGAGTGAAGCAAAAAGGGTCTCGGACATTACAGAATTTTTGAAGGCAACTAACTCATACAAATGTTAGGACTTGTATATTTTTTCACTTTTTGCATAATTAAAGCAAAGGGTGTCCGAGACATAGTCAATAATGACATTTAATTAACTGCATTGATCATCCCTAGATTTGAATTGGTTTAGTACAGTGAAAATTTAAGTTGCAAAACCAATGTGACAGATGATAAGGGTATAATACATTATACATGAATAATAAAACATTTAAATTCAAACCTGTGTATTGGTTCGGACCGTCCCAAGAAGAATGGCAAATGTTTTATTCGCAACATTATGCGATTACCTCTTTAAACATTTCGTATTTTTTGTTGACTAGCTAGGTTTGGAACTAGCTGACTCGGCGAACTTCGTACTGCGTAAGTTCATCAGAAATAATGTAGGATCCTAATGGTGTAAGAATTTTCCAAATCGGTCCAGTAGTTTCGGAGCCTAATATCGAGTCTGTACAACAGACAATCAAATTTTTCCTCCTTAATAATAATTTGATGAGTGTAGATAAGTGTGATATAACAAGACTAGACAAAAGGAGAGGATGGATTTGGATGTTGATGTGATAGAGTGCAGTGTGAGCACATGAGTAAAGAAACGAAACACAGAAAGCTACATACGAATGCGCTGTGATAGGTACATCACTACAAGTGCAACGCGCGTGTGCGTATCCACTGGCCGCTTGTCACGTATGAGCCGAAACAGCTTCAAACTAGATCAGCCAGTAGTCAATCTCAGGGCGTGCAGGCGTGACGCGACGCTTGAACGTCGTGCGTGTTTTGTTTTTGTTTTCGAGTTTCTCACTTAAGTGAGATTAATACGTATTAATACGTAGTAATATTTTTGTTTTAGTATTTAAAAAGTGTTGAAAATATTTTATAGCATTTGTTGAATTGCTTGAAAGAGCAAAAATTACGCGAATATTTTGATCTTCATGTACAAATTGTTAATATTGGTAATGACATTATTATTAGCACATTTGCAAGATTGTATGCCATGTGAGTGTTTCCCATTGGATTATTTGAAAAAACTATATTAGATTTAGAATTTATCATTCGATTAAAAGACACAACAAATTATTAAAAACCAAAAGTAATAAAAAATATATTTAGAGTAGATGTAATTTGTAAAAAAATGACCTATTTTAATATAAAATGGGAAAAAAGGAACATTTATATTTTTAATCAATTGTGCCAACCCTACCAAAATAGGTATAAAGGNCATAACCCTTTGCTAGCTCTTTAGAAGCTTTGTCTCTGTTCTGTTTCTTTACTCATGTAGTGTGAGTGCATAATGCATGGTAATTGTGATCACGTTGTTTTTCACTGATACTGCATTGGACACTCCAAGCTAGCCATAACAGGGTGGAATGTCACCTTATTGAAATAGTTTCGCTGTTATGGTTTTACGGCGGAGATGAAAGGCGTTTGGTTTTGAATCAAATCTTTAGGAAAGGCCATATCTCACGAAATGGTTAAAACGCCCGTATCATATTGACTCTACTGACTTATAGAAACACTAGCTTTCCGCCGGCGGCTTCGCGCGCGTGGACCACTAAACCCAATTTTTTTCCAAAATAAAATTTAGCCTATGTTACTCGTGGATAATGTAGCTTTCGAATGGTGAAAGAATTTTTAAAAACGGTCCCGTAGTTTTTGAGCCTATTCATTACAAACAAACAAAGTTTTCCTCTTTATAATATTAGTGTAGATGATTATCAAAGAATCTCTTCTCATTCTTATTTTGTTACCGCTCTTTTATTAGGTCGACCTGTATCCTACTAATATTATAAATGCGAAAGTTTGTGTGGATGTTTGGATGTCTGGATGTTTGTTACTCTTTCACGCAAAAACTACTGAACGGATTTTCATGAAACTTTACAGTATTATTATTTTATTTTATTATTTATTACCCAGAATAACATATAGGCTATAATTTATGACGATATTGACAAACTAAATTTCACGCGGCCGCAAAAGCTAGTGTAACCATAATAACTATACACGTATTACAGACTTACAGCTGGGTATCTCGAATTCAGAGATTCTTACCTAATTTAAGCTTAAATGACTGGACTACATTTATTGTCCCGAAGCAGTGGTAGGGTTAATATTTGGACGTGTAAAAGCGCTTTTTGAAAGCCTATTTGCAAAAATAAATAAATTTTATGAATTTATGAATTTTAGTGCTAGATGACAGTCCAAGGCCCTGACGATGGAGTCGGGAGTAGGGTTCATGATTTCTCGAGCTTTTTAATTTCTCGGGTCTTCTCGGGTTGTCGAGAAATTTTAAACGGGTGCGAATCGACCCCTTTGAGAACTAGTAATCGCATACTACTAGTTCAAAAAAGAGTCGATTCGCACGTGATTTTAATACTTTTAATACATCCGGGCGAAACGCCTACTAAAAAAAATGATTGTAAGGGGACGATTCGCACATTCGTGCGAAACTACTACTAACCCATTTTAACTTATTTGTGGCCAGGTCTGGGATATTACGGGCCTCAGATTAACCTCCCCAATGAATTCCGCCAAAATCACGTTAATATCTACACGACAAAAAAAAAACAAACGGGAATTTAGAGAACGTGCATAATATTTAAAGTGAATTAAACGAATGATACTTATGAGCTTATAAATGATCAAGAACTAATATAAGTTAAAGAATTTATTTCTCAAAAGAAATTGTACATTTCACTTAAGATGAGAAACAAGGTATTTTATTTATAAAATAAACGTAGGTAGATCTTGAACCAAGGACGTACGGATTAATTTGTTTACCAAAAACAAAACACTCGTCGGTAGACGTGAAAAAACAAGTAAATTGTATTTTCTTTTTACAAACACGTAATATAGAAATAACAGTTTGATCTTGAGACGGTGAATAGATTTAGACAGCGAATCAAAAGGGGAATTTACGTGGAAAAAAAGACTCTTAAAGAGAACTATATTTTGTGACTATACTTAACACGAATCTTAGCAAGGTGAAATGGAGTACCTACCTACAGGCATGGCAAAGTGTTGAACTACACTCAACATCAAATAAACCGCACCTTCCGCGACGCGAACTTTAAAGATTTTCTTATGACACAATCATGGTACCCCAACAATATTGGTGTTATTTGAAAGCCCAATAAATATTCTTAAAGAAAAATACATGTCCAAATAAATGATTAACATATACCATAAATGTGACTTGAAAATAGACCTCACTTTGGGCTCACCTCTGGGATCAATTAGACCAATTTTTATGGTTATAAAACCAAATAAAGATCTCACGTGTCCTCTTTAACATATGTATAGCGATTAATCCTAACTTAACAGTTTTATAGTCATAAAAAATGGCTATAGCGTAACTACCAATTTTTTGAAGAATTGACTCGGGATCCTTGTAAAGACACATTTTTGGGGTAAAAACCTTTCATTTAATGAAATGAAGTTTAGAACTAGGCTTTCAAATGGTATCGATGTTGGTGGAAAGTGGGGATGCATACGTTTGATAAGTGCTTGTCGCGGGAGGTACGATTTATTTGATGCCGAGTGTATATTTTTGGACAAATACTTTCTTTTGAAAAACTAGGGTTTGGGAGAAACTCAAAGAATCTCGTAGCACCATCATATATTGTCAAGCTTTCGTGTGCCAAGTACGCGCGTGCTAGCGTGAACTGAGCCATGGATGTTATGGATGTCCGTAACCGTTACCGAAACTTTCGGATGTCCGAAATAAAAAAATAACCGTAACCGATTCAAAAGTTTCGGATAGTTTCGGATGTAGGCAGTTTAAATTATTTTTTGTATAGCATTATAAAAAGTGTAAAGGTATAACAGCCTGATTAACCTTTTTAAAATGCCATCCATAGTGTTGGACAACTATTGCAAATTGCATTCTAAAGCACAGATATCTGTAACCGTAACTGAAACCGGTATAATATTATTCCTATATCCGTAACCGTATCCATAACCAAAACTACATATCCATAACATCCCTAAACTGAGCTAAGTATGTCATGGTAATTCGCGTGGAATTTTCTGGGTAACGTCTACACGCTAGTGGGTTTACTTACCCTGAGCTATTAAGCGGTCTGAAAGACTTAATGCTAAAGCGAAAGTAGATAATGGTAATCAGAAGTTTTAAGCTTTAATCATAATTCATAACACGCATTCAATACGTGTTACATGAAAACCACAACATTTATCATATTCAAGTAATCGATAGTTAATTTTCGTGTGGAATCCCAGTAAATGAATTGCTTATTGGGCCGTGGTAATACTCGTGAAATTCAACTACGATTAAATTCACTGAAACCGCATGTTACATAACTGTGTTGGAGCTTGTGAAAATGGATGGATATTTGTTACTCATGAATATAGAACAGGGTTTCTCAAAGTGGGGTACGCGAATCCCGGGGCTCGCTATTAGACGTTAAGGGGTTCGCGACATTTACATAATGGTACTAGAGTAAGGCTTGGTTGCACCATCATACTTTGACTTTAACATACGTCAAAAATCTGTCAAACTCCATACAGAAAGCACCGGTTACCGTTTAATTTACTGCCAAAGATAGGTGGTGCAACTCAGCCTTAAAATTGTCCAAAATTACTCCTAAAACTGACTCCATTTGCGATAAGAAGCAGTGCTTGTTTCTTCACATTAATTTTAAAAAGACATTTCATTGGCAATTGATTGAAATTAAAACCTTATTTTTTTCAATAGTCCATTTTATAATTTTCTTTGGGGGAAGGGGGGGTTTAATTCGCTAGTTAAGAGGTTCGCTATCATTTAGAAACTTAAACAGGGGTTCGTGTAGCCGAAAGTTTGAGAAACCTTGATAAATGTAGAACATTATTCGCAACGCAAATAAGTGTCAAGTAAATACGTCGGTCTTTCTATAATAAATTATTTTTAACCAACTTCAACAAAGGGAGGAGGTTCTCAATTCGGTTGGTGTATTATTGTTTTTTCTATGTATTTCGCCGATTAAGCTGAGATTTCTGAGCCGATTTACGTGATTCTTGTTTTCATCCATTTTGTCCTATAAAATTTTGATTTGATTTGGTTGAGTAGTTTTTATTTTTTTCAGCATTTTTAGTTTTTAGCATGAATAAGTGAACACTTTGTTCGTGACAATTACGTCGTCTAGGTATCTTTAAGTAATCGATGTTCACCGATTACTTAGAGATTGCTCGTCCGATTTGAGTAATTCTTTTTTGTTCGATAGTAGATACTTGCCATTTAGTCCCATATACAATTTAGTTTAACTTAGTCGTTTTCATTTTATGAGCATGAGTTTCGAACAGATTTTATTCGGAATCGATTCCTTTTTATTAACGATAACTTCGGCAGTTTTGGAGATAAATCTTAATGAAACTTGTCTCAAACTGTAGAGTATAAAACTACGCATCTGTGTATTTCATCAAACCATTGTAAAACTAATTGGCACATGGAAAAAATTTGCATAAACCGCGATTTGCCTGTTTTTAACAGATGGCTAATGATGAATAGGAAACGAGTTTCTCCAATTGGCAAGTTCAGTTTAGTTCACATTACAAACACTATAAAAAGTAAAATAAACGGCGTTTAAAAAAAACCGACTTTAAAAATTAAACTAACTCTGTTTAACTAGTACATAGCTTGTCATTTCGCAGACTGGCACAGACTCCGAGAATATCAATCATGGCCATAATAATTGTCCTAATTAAATAAATAACGTAAAATAATTATTTTTCTACATTTAGGCGTACTTTTTTGGAGTTAGTTTAATTTTTAAAGTCGGTTTTTTTAAACGCATTTTATTTTATTATATCTCCGAAGCTGCAATCAAAAGCTACATACGTTTTTAATTATGTAATAGTGTTACTCATTCTTAATAAATCCCTTGTTTTATTTCTCTATAAGTTTGGACAGCCAGTTTAATTTATCGGGACAATGGGTTCAATAAATAAGCGTTTGAATAGCGGCCAAGACAATGTATCACGGCAGTATAAGTCGGTAGTCATTTAAATTATAAAATATGATTTGCTTGGCGTTAAACGTAATGTATTGTTGCAGGTGACCGAGTTGGCTCCGCTCCGCTCGCTTCTCGAGTGCATCCGTGAGGTGGCGCTTCGCCCTAACTTCCCTGTGCCGAATCTGTGTGAATTCGCCGAACAGATCTGTGATGGAATGACTTATCTGGAAAAGAAAAGACTGATTCATAGGTAATATTGAAATGTTTCCTCTGTATTAAAAGGCAACCATTAATGATCTAATTCTAATACATATTATATCAACATGAACACGGTTTATACCTACCACTGACCGTATTGCGCAGAATTTTCACCTTCAGATGATAGCATAATCATTTCTACAAAAAAAAAATGACCAGAACCGACACCTGAATTTAAATTTATTTAAAGTTCGCAGAATGCATCTGAAATGAAATTCATCTGAACCTGAATGATTGCGCTGTATCTTTTTACCATTTCATGCTTTTTAACAGACTTCACAAAAGGTGGGGTTCTTTTTAAGTATGATTTTTGTTTTGCAGGGATTTAGCGGCAAGGAATATCTTAGTGTTTAACAAAGATCGCGTCAAAATTTCCGATTTTGGTCTGTCCCGTGCTCTGGGCGTCGGCAAAGATTACTACCAAACAAACTACAATGTCAATCTGAAATTGCCTGTCGCTTGGTAAGTGAAGATTTTTATTTTTATGAACATTCTGAAGAACTCTCCCACAAACAAAAACTTCTATAATGTAGAATTATTAAGTAACGCAGTCTTTACGACATTGCTCAGTCAGGCCAGTGAGAATTTGGAATGCTATTTTTTTCTTACATCAATATTTTTTTAACACTTGGGGATCTTTCTTAGTCAATAGACTCTCATACATTATGTATGTGCATTACGTTATACTTTTGCAGGTGCGCCCCTGAATGCATACTTTACTTGCGTTTTACGTCAGCAAGTGACGTGTGGGCATTCGGAGTCTGCTTATGGGAGATGTTCACTTACGGCTTCCAACCCTGGGCGGCTTTCTCTGGACAGCAAATCCTTGAAGCCATCGACGCTCCCAATTTCCAGGTATATTAACGATTTTAGTTACAATTGAGTGTACAGATCGCCATGCCAGCATCACGATAGTTCGACCACCTGTATTTATTATAATAGTAGACTACGATTCATCATCATCATCATCTCAGCCATAGGACGTCCTCTGCTGAACATAGGCCTCCCCCAAAGCTTTCCATGTTGCCCGGTTGGTAACGGCCTGCGTCTAGCGCCTTTCTGCTATCTTTATGATGTCGTCGGGCCGTGGACGTCCCACGCATCGGTTTCCGGTACGCGGCCACCACTCCAGAACCTTGCTGCGCCATCGGCTGTCAGTTCTGCGTACAATGTGCCCTGCCAATTGCCACTTCAGCTTGCTAATTCGTCGGACTATATCAGTGACTAGTTCGTTTACGGATCTCCTCATTTCGATTCGATCTCGGAAAGAAACACCGAGTATAACCCTTTCCATAGCATAGTAGACTACGATTACTAATTTGTAAAACTATTTTTAATGTTCACAGCGACTGGAGTGTCCGGAGTGCTGTCCGGAAGACTACTACTCTACGATGCTTGAGTGTTGGTCGCACGATCCCAACGATCGTCCGAAGTTCAGAGATCTGAGCGGGAGGCTGAGGGATTTACGTCCCGAACAGGTATTAATTATTTTTATTTATATCTTTTTTACATTATAATATTATCTATGCTATTCCAATATAATTACGGTAAATTCAATCTTTAGTTCATTTACAATGTCTTGATTTAGAAATACGAGAATTGCTGAAAAAGTCCCATATTATTTAAAGATTTACTCAAATTAAAAGTGATGTTATTTTTATTGTTTAACAAAGGCTCATGCAAATACTTTGACTATAAGAATTTGGTAATATTCGTGAAAACCTCACCTATTACATATTAAGGGAGTATTACACTTCGATTTTCATCATCATTATTTCAGCCACAGGGCGTCCACTGCTGAACATAGGCATCAGACAATGATTTCCATAATAACAGCTATTAATTTTATCAACATCTTAATCAACATAATATATTATTATGCTTTTTTATTCAAGGTGCAAACAGTAGTCGGGTTTTCCAAACCCGATGATGGCCGCCGGAGCAACTTGATCGAGTACAAGATTGGACAAATCATTACGGTTTTGGGAAAAGAGTAAGTATATTTAATTTTGTACTTAATATAGCAGAGTACTGTGATTACGTCATCATTTTGTAGAAGACTGTACCGATAGGGTCCGGTTGCTATTTGAATGTATTTCTATTGGTGACATTTCTTGTTTATTCGTATCTTATCCACACTAAGGCTGGGTTGCACCATCTTACTTTAACTTTGACAAAAGTCAAAAATTTGTCAAACTCCATACAAAATGCACCGGTTATCGTTATACCTAGTTACGGTCAAAGCAACATGGTGTAAATCAGCCTAATACTATGCTAAATTGTTATGTCTGCCTTATAAATGTATTTTTCCTAGCATATTTTTTTGCCAGCAACAATTCCCTTACCATGTTTACCGCCAACAATACAGTCGTATTAAACGATGCGTGAAATTTTCTTCTAAGTTATGAATTATGTCTGCGATATTGAATGTAATCCCGAAATAGAAAATATCTTTTGTTGAGATGAGTATTATCCTCGTATATCTCCGTCGTAGGTAAGTCGTCTCGGTGATTTGAATGTCACTCTATCATTAACCCTTTACACCTTTTTTTACATGCTAGAATCTTCTGCTACATGCGCATTAAGGTATTAATTTTTAATCCATTTTCTGGGGACAAACTAATTTGTTACCGCGTGAGACATTTTCAATAAAATAGTAAGACACGGGTCTTAACGTGACGTTTAAGGCCGGGTAGCAGAGAAAATGGCGAAAATGAGGTTTTCATTTTTGAGGTACTAAACAGTAAAATTAAAGGCTAAGATTTTTATTGGGCATAGTTGAGGATATTTTCTAGGGCTATTAACGGATGGAAACACGATTTGATGAAGTTGACTCGATAGAATAAATTCCCAAAGTTACCTCTATTCGTTTTCTATTTATGGTTTTATTTTTAAAATAAGCGATTTGAGATTCTAAATCTTTTACTAAATTAAAGTTCAGAAATAACTTGAGGGCTTTTAACGGATGAAATTTTTATATTGCGTCTTATTTAGTTACTATGTTAAAAAATGTGGAAAAAATCGTCCATGACGGCTTGGACAATCTCAATCAGTCGCGCGGTGGCGCTTACGGAGGACGGACGCGTGTCAGTTTGTTGGACGTGACAGTTCGCGATTTGTCAATATTTTTGACAATGATGACTTTGATGAGTCACAGTATAATAATATCAGTGTTACTGGAGAAAGCTAAAATGTTTGATAATTAAGAATTATCAATTTTGTGTACCTATTGAAATTTAAATGGTTCGCATCCTTTTAAACGAAGATTCTACTCATGATACATAGTACATTCCTCAAATATGAGACAAAACCAATGAGTTAAAATTACATTTTAATAGTACCTACATACAATCGTCTTACACTCTTTAGAAGAGCACACTGATACCAATAAATAATAAAATATTAGGTCAGTGGGTCAAATATAGGGGCAGCTGCACGTCACTGAAAGACGATTCTGTTTACTCGGCGTCTGGTCTGGAGAACATGAACCCTTGTTTACAGATGCAGATGTAAATGGAGTTATAACTGGACAAATTTTACATGAAATGTTTAACAGAAATCAGTTAAAAGACACATACATGGAATACCAATAAGGTTGCGGAGGGAAAGCTACCTATTAAAGTTTCAACAAAATCCCTTAAGTAGTTTTTGCGTGAAAGAGTAACAAACATCCAGACATCCAGACATCATGACATCCAGACATCCAAACTTTCGCCTTCATAATATTAGTAGGATAGGATATTTCACAATCCAAACTAATATTTTCTATTTAGCATTTATAAATAACTCATTAAGATAGTAGCGCCCTCCTGTCAATGACATACCTGGAACGATAGAGTATTGGACAACTAATAAAAATGCTTTGTCCTAAATGACTGACGGATATCGTAGAGACCTGAAAGTTGGAAGGTGTGTTCTTTGTATGACGTAGGCATCCGATTTTCCGAAATGGGGTCATGAAATCAAGGGGGTGAAAAAAGGGGGCAAAGTTTGTATGGGACAAAGTGATTTTTTGGTCCAATCTACTTGAAATTTTGCTTAACAATTCCTTAATATTATAATTCATGACAAACGTGTAAAAGGGGTAGAAATTTATTTTGGGAGTCATTTGCTTCGAAGTTGATATCAATACTAGATACTTACTGCTTTTGATTTAATTACTTTTTATTTTTACAAGTGTTTGAAAACTCCATGTCAGATTGCAATCAATGTCAAGTGAAATCTCAAATTGTGATGCTCATAGTGATTTTCGGTACATACGTTATACATAAATTATGGAAAGAAAACACCCAGATCAATACAAACAAATATGTATGCAATTTTAGTATGATATTTTTATTTATTAATAAACAAAAAGACTGAACAAAATTGATGCGTGTACTGATTAATGTAATTAATCACATGCAAAGTTTCGTGAATTGCAACAACTATAATTTATTATCCAAGCTCTAAATAATCGCTACTACGAGTAACTGATCATGAAATGTTTTTCCAATCGCTCAAGCTCCCGATGACCTTCCCATAGGTCGGGTGACGTAATCTTGAAATTATTTTGGCCGACGCGGAACTTCCGGAAGGTCGGGTGACGCCACGCCTCTTTGAACCGTGTTTACTTTGGCAGTTATATTTTATATTGATTTATTCGATTCTAAAATATATTCCCAAAAATTCTGAAAGTTGTTTTAATTTGTATCACTTGGATATAATTTGTATTAGAAAGTGCTGTGAGTGTGACGCTTGAACGGAAGGAAGTCAACCTAACCTAACCAACTGCGTATTTCTATACTGTGTAGCTGGAAATTGTGGCGGGAGTTCTTTGGCGCGCTGTTTTCGGCGAACAATTGCGCGCGCAGATTTTGACAGCGCGAAATACCTACTTTAGCAGAAATACCAAGCCTTAATTTATGAGTTACATTATGTACTCACGGCTTGACGTTTCGGCTGCGATGCTGCAGCAGTGGTCACAAGCAGACTGGCGGCTCGCGAAAGTTTAAAATCTAACATTGTCAATAGTTTTGTATACCAACTGTTAAATGCATTTTAGGTAACGTTAGCGAATTCAACCTTTCATACATTTTTTAGAGATAGTTTGAGATAACGGGGAAAAACATAGTAGTTTTTTTTTCGACTTTTGGATGGGGGGTTAAAAACTTTCTGACCCATCGACATTCAAGCGGGTGAAGCCACTCGTTATAGCCACTATTTTCTATTAAAACTATGGTCAACAAGAATAAGATCAATTTAAACATATTTAATTTTATACTAATCAGTTAAAACATTTTTTTAATCAATAATTCCAGGAGCATGACCAATTCATCAATGTGGTATGGAGTGCTGCCCGCCGGCGCTTGCGGTATGTTCGACCCCGCGCATGTGAAGCCCTACTCCGGGCCCGAAGTAAGTATTGACACTATGCGTGCTATGTGTTCTGTGAATCATTGTCCAATAACCAACCGGGGACTTGGTGCTGTGCGAGTTATGCAATCGATTTTAACCGACATAAAAAAGAGGAGGTATTTTCTTGTTAAGATTGATGTGTATCTTACTGTTGTGTGTATTCATTCATGCATTTGATTTAGTGCAATGTAAAAGTCAGTCAATGTGCAAAATATATTAATTGTGATACCCAAAGCTCAGCGTTTTGACTTTATAGACAATAGACAAGTCAATTTTGAAAGAAAGAAAGAAAGAAAATACATTTATTTGGCACACTAGAACAACAAATTACAGAAATTAATACGTTAAAAAAAATAATTTAAAAATTATGCCAAATAGGCTTCTTGGGAAAATAATTTATTTAAAAATTATGCCAAATGGGCATTTTGGGCCTTAAAAGTCATAAGTAAGTTTTACTGTAACCGTGACTTTGACTTTTAGAAGTCGCCTTTTGTTTTTAAACGATACTTCATTTGGAATGCTAGTTCATTCAGATCATTGCATCTAGTAGTAATTAAAAACCAACTTTTTTGTGTTCAGACAATATTGTAAAGTTCATATAATTCGCAAAGTACTAATAACCCAAGTCATTCGGGCGTTTGTCAGTTTGATATTCACCACATTTTCATATACATGGTACTTGGTACTAATAAACCAAATCATTGCAATGTCGCGGGATGATTTTATATTCGTTTCTCATATCTACATCAAATGACGATCACGTAATGCTATAAATTTTTTAATAACATTGTTAAAACCTAGACTTTCCTAAGCGTGTTCTAATAAAATTCAAACAAAGTATTGTCTTTACTTCTTAAATGATAGTTTTTTTTAAACAACCTGTATGTTTTCTGTAACAAATAAAAAATACGGCCCTTTTATTACTTTACTAACACAAGTCTTAAGAAATATTAGCATTATAATAATCTTAGTTTTCAAAATGACGCATTCACTATAACTTTTTTACTTTAATGCCGGCACCATTAATATTTATCATCGTCATTGATGACACATCAAGTGTGTGACGTACTGATATCGAATCATCCCGCGCCTCACCCGGTGGGCAACTCCGAAACTGTTTCGGATCTGTGGGCTGTGTGAGTTTACATCAAAAGTGCTCACTAGTGAGCGCATTAAAAAAATGTATGAAAGTTCTACCAGGCCTGTTCATCTCCGCGAGTTTACATCGAAAACAAAACACGCACGATGGCCCACCTACAGGATACTATTCGACAAGGCCTCACATACGAGCGAACATTGACTCCCGCACGCGTATTCTTGTGTATGATGGATTTTAAGTTGCCTCAACAAGACACTGAGAGGTAAATAGGTAATTAATATCATTCATGATACTTCATGCAAAATCATGTATTTCCTCCGCCATTTTCCGCAGTTTGGCACCTCACGTCACATCATTTTACCGAAGTCAGCCCTATAGCTTCGGCGCAGTGCCGAACTGCCGATCACTGACGTTTGTCAACAAAATGGTGCTTGACTCTTGAGACAGGCTAAATTACACCATATTGTTAATGACATTGAGCATACATTTTTATAAATACCTTCTCGAAGTTAAACTTCTGTACGTAGTACTTATTATTATTCTGTGGTTCTACTTCTTGAACGTTTCCGCTAGGGGCGCTATACAATCCGTCATACATTTAATGTCACTTTTTACGCGGTCGACATCGATTGCGTTTGACGTAAACTCACACTAGGCCCTGTTTGTCACCGTTATCTCGCTTCGCGTGGCAACATCTGAAACATACGTCTTTCGGAGTACGCAAGCCGTTGCTTTAACCACGCTGCCCTGTCAGAAGCTATCCATGGCGTGTTCCCTCTCGCCTCATCCGATCCGGAGTTCCATCCGGGCGCGGCCCTCGCTCCTGCGGTCCGACGTCAAACGCCACACGTATACCGGCAAGAGGACGATTCAGAGAAGCATGATATCAAGCCCACAAGGTGACGTCAAACACACTGGACACGTCGGCTTGGACGGCGCGTACTTCGGAGATATTTCCTTCCTGGATCCGGCTGGTTGCGTAAGTACGCTTGCGGGATCTAGATGGCTTTGGTGGGGTTTTTAGTGCGAGAGATATTTTTTTTTACAAAACTGTATTGAACATAAATGCATTCAATAATGCAACTGGTAAATACGAGTCTTAGGAAATTCATGAAAACACATAATATTATATTGGTTTGTCTCTAATCCTTGCCACTATTCTTGCTCTTGTGCTCTTTATCTTGTTACTGTTTAACAGTTAACCCAAATCTTTTCTATTTGAAGAACCTACCTATATCTAAACAATGTCAAGATGTCTAGCATCTGATGTAACACATTGTAGATAGAATACCTTGCATAATTTATTAGCACTAGTAGAGTAGATTAAAATATTAACATAACAACAACATAGCAACATCTTGCGCAAATCCAGGGTTATCTAGATCTCATCTCTGTTTGTTTGGCCTGAACTAATCATTGTGTGTTCATTATTCTCTTACTCTTATATTTAAAAAAAAAACAACATTTGCATGCCGAGATTGATCTATGTTTTAAACGTTGTGTTACACCATAATATTACAATACATAATAAAAACAAGCGGCACACTCGCATTGATCGCCACTTGAGCTCACTACGATGTATGAGCACGCAGCGGCTAGTTACTTCCCGCGGTTGCCAATAGATGGCGTTTTGTGTCACTTAGATCGCGGTGTAAGTTTTCTCTAGGAACTATAAAGGTTTTAAGGAACTACTGTAAATAAGCTTCGGGAGTACACTTAGCTTGAACGCTATAGAGCAGTGGTTCTTAACCGGTGGTCCGCGGACCACTGGTAGTCCCTCGAGGCATTCCAAGTGGTCCACGAAGTGCACTTGCACGCCTTGGTCAAAACCACCTTTAACTGATTTTTGCAGTCAAACTGGTTTTGTTGACCGATTATGATTGACAAGACAGAAATTTGGTAAAATGGTCCCTCATGACTTAAAGGTTAAGAACCACTGCTATAGAACGTCTCGCATAATATTTGTTTAGATAACCTTGTATAATATACCTGTTATTGTAGCCGCCGCGTCAAGTCGTGACACCGTACAAGCCATCTGAGGACTTGGAGCAGATGCCGCTCCTCAACCCCAACTCGCCGTCCCATCTGTCTGCGGCGTCGTGCACGCCGCCCTATCCTCTGCTGAGTCCTGCGCGCACGGCGAGGACCTGCGACGAAGTGGATCTACCCTGTAAATTACTGAAGAAAGAACTCGAGTCTTTTCAAGTCTTTTAAAAGATACTCGACTCGTTTTGACGACTTATGAGACTTCACAATGAGGGTTTTCGCGATTGAAAAATCCGCCAGATGGCAATACGTGGACGCGAGGTCCAAATGCTGCATGATTGGTTATTTTTGACATGACATTGACAGATATGTCAAAATCCACCAATCACGCAGCATTTGGACCTCGCGTCTACGTATTGCCATCTGGCGGATTTTTCAATCGTGAAAACCCTCATTCAATCGAGTCTTTAAGTCTTGAGCCTTTTAGGAGTCATCGACAATGACTTGTTTTATTTTAGACTTACGGCCGAATACTGAAACGCCATTTAAATATTTGACGGCTTCTCAAATAGTTAAGCAGCTCCTAAACTTACATTTCGCATACTCAAAACAATATCTGAGCAGTTCTCAATTTTTAAGCACCTCTCAAATTAAGTTGCACTCAAACTCCACTTAAATGAATTTTCGCATACTGAAACGCCATTCAACGCTAAGCATTACTCAAACAACTGTCAAATCGTCTTAAGCAGCTGTTAAATTTGAGAGTGCTTGCGCGGTATCTTAAATCCTATTCTTATACCTAAATCGACCTAAATAGTGGTAAATAATGTGTGTCATCGTTATCATTTCTTTCGAGCCTCGAGGAAATACCTAGATCTAATCGCAGGAACGCAATAAGGCTGAACGCTATTGAAAAATATTATTATAATGACATGCAATTCCGAGCGAGGTTCCGCGTCTCTAAAGAAACGGTGTTGTTTCTGGATTCATAATTTGGAAGCTCTTTGAAACCCCTCACCAAATGCCATACAACCAGTGGACCAAATACTTATTATAACCCTACTGTTCTACGCAACGGGAAGTTATGAACGTGTACTAGGTGATATCTTCCACATCTAACAGCCAACTGTGCATCGTATAGTGCACGAAGTAACAACCAAAATAGCTGCTATGAAATCGCTTTACATAAACATGCCTATTTCTGAGGATTAAGGGGACATCGCATAGCAGCATTTCCAAGAGTTGTTGATTTGTCAATTTGATGCTCTGTCAGTCAACAATGATAAATGTCAATTGTGGTTACGTTTCGGTCCACGATCGCCACTTAATAGATTTCAACAATAAAAAGTATCACATTTAAAATTATTTTTTTAATTAAATAAAAATGCAAGCATTAATTTTTATATGATAAAACGAGATTTATATATAATAGAAACTAAAAATAAACTGTTCTATGTTAAGTTGATTGAGTATATTTCCATAAAAGACAATACATAACCAAACGATGCTGCGTGTAATGGATAAAAGACGTAAAGTTATCATTTGTGTAAATGAAAACATACTTTTTTTGGTAAATGTTGCCATTATGTAAACATTTGAGAGCTGCTTAGCTGATCACGGCTTCAAATCCGTTGAGTAGCGTTTGAGAATACCATTTAAAATTGAAGGATACTTAAATTTAGGAGCCCGTCAGTTGAGTGACAGATTTGAGTAGTGTTTCAGTATTCGGCCGTTAGTCAATTTAAAAGGACTCGAAATTTTTAAACGACTCAGTCGTGATGAAAAGTCTCCAACATTTTAAAACGACACGACTCGTTGGAGTCGTGAGTCTCTAATATTTCAGTTCAGTTTTAGACTGTTACAGCTAAAGTTATGTATTGCCATATAATTTCGAGTTCTTTACTAAAAGACTCGCTACTAAATTGTGAGTCTTTGAATAAAGAACTCGAGTCGTTTTATTTCCGAGTCCTATTATAATGACTGGAGTTCTCTCACCTTAGTAAAGAGTCTTGAGTCGTATTTTCGGAGTTGAGTCTTGAAAATCGAGTCTAGTCCTAACTTAAAGGATTTAAAAGACTCGAGTCCTTTTATCTCTACTGTAAGTGCATCCATTTCCATACTGTAGCCGCCACAAGTCGTGACGCCTTATAGTGGGCGCGCACCTATAAGCGCCGCACTTCATAGCAGTATCTACAGCTTCACCGTCATGAAAACCGAACCATGGTCTAGTTAGTTCTGGGGAAAAGTTAAAACTTTCATTGGCTGTTTATCTGTATGGACATAAAGAGCGCCCATTACACCGATTTGTTATCGGCCGATTCTTCATACAAATTAGAATCGGGCCCATATATCTGCCGACTAAAAGTCTGTAGTCTGCGGGGAGTTTTTAGAAAAGATATAAGTACACCACAGCCACAAACTCTTTGGTGTTCTTCACAAATTCTCTTTCCACACTTTTTTATGGTAATTGCAATTAATTTACTTACGGGGGACCCTTTAAATTGTCAAATTTTTCAATCACTAGTGCTCTGGGATTAGTGACGTAAATACATCAAAGAGCCCAATCCTTGTTCTAGGTCGCCGCCTTTTCGAAATTTTATTTAACCCACTTGTTACTAGCGTTCTTTTAAAAGAACGCTAGTTTTTACATAAATGTTTTTACAAATGTGGGCAGTGTAAACTATTTTTATGTGCAACATTTGAAAGATGAGGTGTGTCGCAGTACTGTCCAAGTCTTATAAGTACACTGACGTAAATAACTATAAAGTTTTGGAGCGATTGTTTTGAGATAAATTTATCATGAGTGATTTAAGGTAAGTGATAGAAAAAGTGAATTCCGTAACAAGTGGGTTAAATACGTAAAAAATTAATAAGCAACATTTAAAGTGGAGACATGGAAAATTTATTTCTTTGAGAACTTAATTTAACGTTTGAAGCAATAATTAGCTCTTATGGAAATGTTCAAATTAATATTTTGAAGGTCGCCCCCTTCTTCGTTTTCGGTATTATTGCATTAATATTGAGAATTTTTGATTTTTCCATAAAATACTTTGCCGTGAAGAAATCACTAGGCGCTTTGCTTTATCGTAGCTGTCAAGTGTCAAATGTGTGTTTGTCAATCCATTACAGAGTAGTGTAGACAGCAGAGCGCGCAAATATAAATAGTATCCCTTATGTTATGACTTCTATTGTTACGAAATAATTTTATACTTATTTTGGTCAATATGACTAGAAAACCCTTGCAACCTTTCTTTGCCGTACCTTCAACTTACCATATTACATTTTCTGTAATTTTTATAATATCTTGTTTCAGCATACCAATGTTAGTAAATAGTAATAAATAACATGATAATTGATCGTTAAAGTAGTAAAAACGAGAAACGAAAAAAACAATGATAAAAAAAAATAAACGTGCTCCCTCGCCGCGAGCATTTGTGTGTAATGTAACGTTAAAGATTCGAGCATTAATCAGTGAGGGAAGGAAACCGACCATTACAGCGCGCACCTTGTAATGATACAAAACGAGTATACATCAGTGAAGGAGGAGAACCGACATTATAATACGCACCTTGTAATCTTTCTTGTAAAGTCGTCAGTAAGGGAGGTAGTATTGTAATGTAATGCTCAAAGTCGAATCTACAATGTTACATTACACATAAGTGCTCCCAGTGAAGCAGCATCTTAAGGTTTTAATTTTCAGGTTACCTACTCTTTTATCACAACAATGAGAAAGAACATACTACAAAAAAACATTTTTATGTAAACGAATCCACTTGGAGATTTCAAGTTTGTTTGAGCAATTCCAAGAACTTTCGCATCATAATATTCTCCATTTGGTTGCATTTCAGCAATCTAAAAATTATTGGAGAATATACACGGTTTTCATCCTTACTTTTACTTGTTACATAATATGCTAAATGAGTAAAAATAATTAAAAAAAGAAATGAGAAGTGTAATATTACTGTGACAAACTGAATTTATGGTTGACCCCGCGAGTGCGTGCAAGTGCGTAATAATAATGAATTAAATTAATAATGAAAGATAAAACAGTTATTTTAACGCGTCTTTCCATTCTATACATGGCCAGAACGCAGCCATAGGAAACTCTGTAAAGCAGTTTGTGTGAGATCGTGTTAGTTCGTTGCGCCACCGCTATCTCGGCTAGCAAATCGTAATTTCACGATAATTATCGTGATAATAACAGATGGATAATTAATTATCGATTGATGAACTGTATTCGAAGTTTTCGAACGTGTATTTCCGCACTTGCGTCTAGTGGTGGGTGTTAATCAACATAGATAGTTATAAAACCTATGTATTTAGCTCTACAATGATCACTAGTTATCTAGGGTCAAAATATTTATCTATTTTCAAAGCTATATACGAGTAGCGATGGATAACTTGACAACAATAAGCAACCAAAAACATAAAGCAACATTTGCAATCAGAATTTCTTATGAAACAAAATGACAAATGTTTCTTATACTGTTGATAATTATCCGATAATTATCGTGAAGCGTAATTATCTTGATAATTTCGAACCCTGGCGCTGCACTTAACACTGAGAGTTTACTGGATAAATGTCAAAGTGCCTTTTAGAATCAATCAATAATCCGATGACGAAAGATTGTTTAGCCAGAGCTCTTTATTTTTCAGCCACTTCCAAAGCAAAAAGCCAGAAAAAACCAACCCATCACTCGTTTGAACCAACCACCAGCAAGAGTCTATTGAACAAGGTTAGTATTTTCACCCTATTTCTAATGAACATAAATTCTATTTAAAATGCATTGTGCTACCACGCACGTTGTGATTTGCCTACAAAGCAAATCACAACTTGCGTGGTAGGAATAATACATAAAAAATATATATTTTGGGACGTATAAGTGTTAAAGTACTCTTAATCTCAAGTGAAAATAAATTACCTATTTAGTTTGTATTTATAACCATTACTTTTAGGTGAAGTCGGCGACCATCGGACGTGCACATAAGAGCGAAGATATCACTCGAACTGACGAAGTCCACGAGTATCACGAAATATCCGACACAGATACGGTAAGAAAAATGTAATATGATACCAACGTACTTACTATTTTAGAGATCTACAATCAGTGGCATGGAATGTTGTCAAAGCACGTCATCAACAATATTTCTTCTAAAATAACGACTAACGCCAGCTCAAGAGCAGTTAATATGGTTTGGTGACCCATTCACACATATTGCTTATGTGGTCTTGGTAATAAAAGTGCTTTTTTAAGCCTACTTACAGAAATAAATGAGTTAGGTACGTTCTTTTTAATACGGTTACACGGTTCTGACAAATAGGGTCTTACACCTTTTTTGAAATATGTTGTAAATCAATCCTGAGGTTATAATGAACCAGTGGAGTTTAATTTAAATTTTTAAAAGACTATAAATGCCTTAAAAACTTAAATGTAAATATGATTTTGACTTTTCGTGCGGAAACGCTAGCCACCATGCTGATTCAGCTCGTGACGTCACTCCGTTAGTTTCTATAGCTTTACTCTAACTTGCTGCTTTCACAAAACCGTCTTCCATGACACCATTTTAATAAAATAAAACTTTAAAGTCCTTTATCGTGATATTATCACAAACAAATTCAATATTTTACACATAAATCAAGCCAAAATCTACTTGTTTACTAACGGAGTGACATCACTGCGGATCCGTCATGACGGATGGCGTTTTAGACATTTGAAGAACAGATTAAAATAGATGATTTTTAAAAGAGAATAATAAAAATCTATTTGCGCTTTTAAGTAAAAAATATCAACGTTTCCCGTTTAGTTTTTATGAAATCTAATAAAGACATGCATTTTTATATTTTTCTTACATTGAGTAAAATACCCTATTGCCAAATTATTCTGCTATAATGATCTAAGATCCGAACTAGAAGCTGCAACCATCTGTTTATTTACACCATTACCATTAAAAGAATTTTAAATCAAATCAGGATTTTTAGGCAACTCAACCAACTCAACCCTGCGATATATTTTTTAACATACTAAAATTTATTTAAAATACTTTTCATTGAATAAACAGATGGTTGCAGGTCGCTTCTATTTCGGATCTTGTTTTAATAAATATTATCAAATAGCCTCTAAATAACAATTGTTTTTTAAATCTACATGTTTTTATGTCTTCGACATATTATTATCATCAATTTGATAATTTGCTTGTTTGCTGCTTTTCGCAAAACTTTGTAGGATCGATAACATTCTGTACTACTGATTGTATGTGTAAATGTAAATACGATTATAATTTACTGTTGTTAGTAGGTATGTGTAGAATAAAATACTCAAATTATATTCCTTAATTTTCAGACTTTTCTAAGCATAGTGGAATCGTGAGTCTGTTTTTAGAGCTCGTAACTCACCTAAACGCAATAGTTTTAACATTTTTGTGTTAATCGCATCCGCGGTCTCGTTTTGTTTAACAACGTTCGTTGACATTGTCACGCTGTTCGCTTGATTTTAACCTACTATTTGTCATACGATAACATTGATTGAAGTACTCGTACATTCATTGATCAACCGCTGGTACATACCACGGCATATCCCACACGCTACAGCGGACGCCTAATATCCGAGTTAGGAGCGCAGCCGTCCGTGAATCATCATCCTGTAGCAGATAAACGCATGCATTATATTGGGCATGTTCCGGTTTACACTGCGAGCACAGCTCAGTGCTCTCACTAGTGAAAAATTCGTTCCGTTATGGACTGCCAGTTCACTGCCGCAGGGAAATATTATGATGTCATGAATCGCCCTTTTTGTACTGTTACTACTGTGTGAGCACTGGCGCTTTCGAAGTAGGGTGCTCTCAGTAGCTGCTTTTATCACGTGATCAAAAAATTTAATAAATATACAATAAGTTTTAAAAATAGTAACATTTAAATAATATTTTTTCTTGTTGAACGGAAAACATTACATGATTAAATTTTTATTTGAAAACAGTGTCGAAAAATGGGGATGAGTAAGCGTACTAGACTGCGTTCCGTTTTAAACAGTACCTAACCAGTATAGAAAACTAAAAAGGAGCGGCTTTACAGTATTTGTTTTGACGTCACACCTAAAGGTTTATATAGACTGGAACGTTTACTCGTAACAGAACAATGAATCGCTCTATGACATGTTCTAGTGTAAGTGTCGCCCTTTCACGAACCAAATGTCGTACATTTTACCTGTACTGTACCATTTGTAAGAACGTTACATATTATTATATTACATTACATAGAAATTGTCTAGTCTATACTCACCTCTGCAGTGGTCACAGTCACAGTGTATATCGGAACACACCCATTATCAGCTATCACAGCGCACTCGCCGACAGTTCCGGAAGGGCCGCCACTCATCTCATTGCGCCGTAAACACACGATTCGTTTTCGTTTACAGGATAGCATTGCTACGGAAAACGCGAGGGCCGAAGGCTTGGCGCAGCCCGAGAGCCCGGGGATACCAGTAAGTTTTATAATTAACTAGCGGCCGCCCGCGACTTCGTACGCGTAGACCCCGTTTCACCCGCTTAGAGGTTGAATTTTGCAAATATTGACCATCCGTAAAAACCATCCTTGGACTTAAACGAACACTTAAAAAAAGAATTGGTAAAATTTGTCCAGGCGTTGGTGAGACCTACACATTTTGCGATACATTTTTATTTTATAGTAATCATACATTAATTAATTAACTTACGCCATGGCCTTGATTTTTGCTATTCAGTGTCCATTACTGTAATTACTTCTGCTGCAATTTGAATTTACAGTAACAATTTTTATCTTTGCAGAAAACCTACGGCGATTTCAGCCAAAGTTTGCTGGACCAGATGGAGTCCATGTTTCGCAGTTACGACGGCAGACGCCGAGAAGAAGCTGTAAGCACCTATTTTACTTTATATTTTAGTGCTAAATGCATTTGCCCGCGAAATATTTTGATACAGATCGTTTCGTCCACGAAGACGCTATTTATGGTCGAGGGAAGCGCGGGATGCGGTGAGTTTGATCCAAGCAATCCCAGCGTCATTATTGTAGTGTGCGTGTGCACTCATGGATAAAAGACAATGCCGGAAATTGGCGTCTTTTTTTTTCGCGCGGCCATCGACCAAACTTTGTTTTTTGATTACAAAATAGTGTAATAAACCAAACTTACTATGACATGTATGTATACCTCTAAACTCAGTCTAAACTGAGTTACGAGCATTAGAAGTTTGATGATTTTCATACTAGATTTGCTTTTTGCGCGCAAAGTTTTGTAAGAAATTGCAATAAAATAGTGAGATTGTATGTGTAAACAAACAATATCATCCATTAAAGGCTTCAGACATCAGTATGGAGCAGAATCAGCGCAATAAAAAATAGCGCAATATTTTGTTGCAATTTCTTACAAAACTTGCGATTTCTTACAAACAAATACAAAATCTGGCATTGCCAAGACAATGCCGGAAATTGGCGTCTTTTTTTTTCGCGCGGCCATCGACCATACCTTGTTTTTTGATTACAAAATAGTGTAATAAACCAAACTTACTATGATATGTATACCTCTAAACTCAGTCTGAACTGAGTTACGAGCATCAGAAGTTTGATGATTTTCATACTAGATTTGCTGTTTGCGCGCAAGTTTTGTAAGAAATTGCAACAAAATAATGACATTGTATGTGTAAACAAACAATACCATCCATTAAAGGCTCCAGACATCAGTATGCAGCAGAATCAGCGCAATAAAAAAATAGCGCAATATTTTGTTGCAATTTCTTACAAAACATGCGCGCAAAAAGCAAATCTAGTATGAAAATCATTAAACTTCTAATGCTCGTAACTCAGTTCAGACTGAGTTTAGAGGTATACATGCCATAGTAAGTTTGGTTTATTACACTATTTTGTAATCAAAAAACAAAGTTTGGTCGATGGCCGCGCGAAAAAAAAAAGACGCCACCTTCCATACAAAATCTGGCATTGCCATTTAGCGTGTACCGAACACTCAAACATTAGCGGAAAAATGGTGGGGCGCGTCTTCGTGGATGAAACGATCTATAATATCGTAAGATTAACGATTTATTATTACACAGGTCGTATGGAAGTAGTAATTCGCACCATTTTGCTGAAGTCCTTGGTTTTTTGCTGATTCTTTTGTTTTTTTTTTTACTTGGAAACTAACTTTCAAACCGCCATTATTTCTGAATACCAATTATACGATAAAATTGGTTTCAAATGCTTCATTTTGATAAAGCTCCAGAGGAAACCCAAGTCCCGAGGTAAAACAACTCTTTGGAAGACCGTGCGTGGCTTCACTGCGAAGGTTAGAGTACGTAAAGGAAAATACAAGGACTTTAGTGTATCATTATTTGTGCTTATGTGTTGTCTCCTAAAATAGTATAATGAAAGGTTTCACTGTCAGTTTTTATGTTATTTTTTAATGAAGTGGAGAAGTTTCCAGTTTTTTCTTTTAATAAGTAAAACATATTGGTGAAATAATCATGAAAAAATCTGTACACAAAATGAAGTTACAGGGCCCTAAAAATGCGCATAACAAATATTTCGCGCCATTTGAACGTGACTTCACGCCATTAATGTGGAGTACAAACAGTGAATCACCCCTGGTCCAGTGCTGTTGGTTGACTGACAGATCCAATTTTTTACCAATCTTGTAGTTTTTAATTTTTCTGGCCATATAAAAAAGAAAAAGAAAACTTTGACATTATAGTGTCATTCTCGACAGTGCATTAGGGGTGGTAAGCATTGTGATTGAAACTTGAACAGGTGACCTGACGTCACGGCACCGCCTTAGTTTTTAAGTGCCACGCGAAAATATGTAGGTAATTTAAATAATTATTTCTTAGCCATTTCTTGATGGATTTCAAAAATAACTTCACTGGCTTTTTAGTTTTGGTCTATATTTTAATCCGATTCGGTAAAATATAACGTTTTCAACATCACGAAACTTCTCCATTGACAATGCTGTGCGTTTTTAAATGTTGTGTAATATGAATTTATGTCGCAGCTGAATTAAACAGTTCGCCTTTTTACATTATTTATTTATATTTATTTATTGTAAAAATAGGTGGGCTCATATTTTTTTTAAACTCCTGTTTTTCCGATATAGTTGATTAATTCGGCTGAAACTTAATATAAAAATTGCATTGATACAGTTTAGGGATTTGATTCCACATCGAGCCTCATAGCTTTAAAAGAGATAACCCTAACTTCTTCAAAGTTAATAAGCGTGTTTTCCGACACCTCCTAGAAAAGTGACAGTATAATATCTGGCTATGGTTGTTATAACTTTTCAGGAATCGGACGATACGATGTCGTGTTGGGAAATGAACACTACGCACTATCGTTTCTCTTACATATAAAGCCCCACGATTGGCTACTAAATAATTTCAAAATTCTTCATTTGTTCAGGTGCTTTTCTGGAATTGTTGGTAAGAGTAGTGGTGGTGAAACACAGTTGTAGCTAGGTTCACACAAAGCAGCCATATTTATGGGAGTTGCAAGCGGCAGGCGTAAGTAAACACTGACACTGACTCACTTCTTAAAAAGTGTCAACGCATAAGGTATTTTTATGTGTGTGTAGTGTTTTTTAAACTAGAGCTGATTTTCCAATAGACAGTAAAAACGAAAAATAAGATAACGAAAAATGCGGTACCTGCCATGCCATACTTAAGGTAATATTTTGCAGACATGGGTGTGTTGATATCATATGGCGTGTCTGTCTAATGTCAGTGGTTCTTAACCGGTGGTCCGCGGACCACTGGTGGTCCCTGGGAACATTCCAAGTGGTCCACGAAGTGCAATTGCACACCTTGGTCAAAACCACTTTTAACAGATTTTTGCAGTTAAACTGGTTTTGACCGATTATGAGGTGGTCCCTGACAAGACAGAAATTTGGTAAAATGGTCCCTCATGACTTAAAGGTTAAGAACCACTGGTCTAATGTAAAGTCATCATCGCCTTGTTTTATGATATCGTCTTGATCTTACATTCAATGGTAACATTATTTATAATACAGTGTACGAGGGCTGTTACATAAATAAATACCCGAATTACGCAAAAAAAAAAATTAATCTTTAGCTCCTTTTATAACGACTCACTAAGCCTAGTGTTTGAAGTACTCCGATAAATGTTATTGTCGCACACTGAAAATCTGCAAAAAAATGCCGCAGTGGCGGTTATGACCAGAAGGTCGTTTTTTTCGTGAATCACTTTCTTATTAACTAAAAATATCGTTTTGCTAACTCCCTGTGTATGGCAGCTTGTAAATATTTTTATGTAGGTTAGGTAGTCAGTACCTTTGATCTTGAGATCTTTCTAGACTAGACACTGTGTGACACTTCCGCATTAGTCATGTTATTTTTTTCACTCGGAATTTTGTTAGTTCTTTTGCAAGGTAGTTATCTTGTAGTTAGTTAATGTTATTCAATATTTCATTAATTGAGATTTTTTTCTAATGTGTTCTTGTTTTACGACGTTTCAGGGAGCTACAAGCAAACAAGTTGATTCGGATACAGAATTGAGGTGAGGATTCAAAATATTTGTCGGCCGTTTGGTGTAGTGGTTCGAATCGGACTACTATTCCGGAGGTTGCGGGTTCGATTCCCGCACAGTACAAACATTTGTGTGCATGAACATATTTGTTTGTATTGGACTGGGTGTTTTCTATGTATAATATGTATGTACATATTTACAAAAAAAATAATTATTTAAGTATGTTTATATCCGTTGTCTAGTACCCATAGTACAGTCACGGAATGAAAAGGTTCGTCAGTTTTCAAATTGATTCCTTCAACGAATCGCGAGCACATATTACCTTTTGAAACTATGTTACAGAATAATCTCGAGTTAGAGAAAATAATCTTTAACTGTTCGTCAGTAAAGTTCAAAATTATTCGGATCAAAGTTGTTTGACAATTTATCTTGTCAAGAAGATTATTATGATTGATAAACTAAAACCTTCTTGTTGGTTCAACCTGCCATTATTATTTCTATTAAATAAAAAAAACTATTGTCAATTGGTCAATGTCATCATTGCATTGCACTGATGGGATAGAAAAATAAACAAGCAAAACCTTATTTGTTAGCAAACGTCATATTTATTTAAATGTTAGCAGCACTGTTTCTTGCACTGTTATGTTGGCAGGTTTGACTCTTACAGTACCTAGTGCAAGCGAAAACCGACACTAAGGTGACGAACCTTTTCATTCTGCGACTGTACAAGCTTTGCTTAGTTTGGGGCTAGCGGCGCAGTGTAAAATGTCCAAGGATATTTATTATTATTATTTACTATGTATTGTACCCCCATGGTCTTGTGATAAGAGTTATACCAGGCCTGTTCAAGAAAAAAAGCGTGCGGTGCGCTAGATGGCGACACAGTAGCTTCTTGTAGCAGTCAGTCCTATCGTATTGGCACAGTACCGAGCACTGAATAGGTCAAGTGTATTTTGAATCGTTTTCTAGAGTAATAAGAGTGAAATTCTCTTGCAATGGATTTCTCTACGTATACAGGGTGTTAGGTAAATGGGTATATGAGCCGACACTAGCCCATGTAACATGGGCATATAAATGGTATGGTGAAGTCAGAAATTTGATATCATCATTTTATTTTTTTTAATTTTCATACAAAATAAATTTTATAAAATCCGATTTGTATGAAAAATAAAATAATTAAAATGAAGATATCAATTTTCTGACATCACCATACCATTTATATAACCATGTTAACATGGGCTAGTGTCGGCTCATATACCCATTTACCTAACACCCTGTATAAACGAAACTATGCACCATGTCCATACACCATTTGTTGACGACATTGAGTATACATTTTTTAAATGGCTTCGCGAAAAAAACTTTTTGTACGTTGTACATTATTATTCTTTGGTTATACTCTTCCATTGGCGATATTCCCAGAGAAACACATGGTGTAAAAACACTTTGTGATTGCACTTGGTTTGCTTAGGTAGACTTGATTCAAACTGTTAATCTCAAAAAAAAAATATTCTTTGACGTCATACTCTATTTTCGAAGATACAACTAAACTACATCAGACGCTTATAATGGCAGCTCATTGCATCTGATATTAAGATTTTTTTCTAAGTAGGTACCACTCTCGAAAAAGAAGACATGTAGTGGAAAGTTGGCGTAATTTTAATTTACTTTAGTAATTGTAATACATTGCAATTTTCCAGGACACACACATTGAACAAGAGCGAAAAAAAGAAACACAATGAAACCGGAACCATGAAGTTGATGTCTGCTCACGATGAGAAGACCCTGGACACAGCATGCGCTTTGGCCCATGAACTGACCACCAGGTTAGAAAACTTAGCATAGCTTCCTATAGCTGCAGAGGCTACCTTATTATTATTTATTACCTTTGTTACTCACTTCCTAACATCCGTTTGAGTTAAAATGTTGCATACTGTATAGGGCGCGCAATGAGAGTTGAGGTCATTAACGTAAGCAAAGATATGATACGCTGTATGTGCTGACGTCTTGCGTAGACGGACTGAGAAGTGCTTTCTGTCTCGCTTGCAGAAATTTAGCTAGAGCGAAGTAACTAATGTATTCGATATTTGAACTTGAATGTGTTGTTTGTGATCTACAGGATGGAATTTTTTAATGCCACCTGAAAAAAAATTGCTCTTAAAACTATACGTAGAAAATTGTACTCTAAAAATATTCCTTTATTTTTGAAAAGAAAGAACTGCATTCAAAGATTTCCATAAAATCGCTTGGCACCCCCGGGAATCGAACTGACTAAAGACCCTGTATTTAGTTTGGGTTAATTATGAGGATGAAATCTCTCTTAAGAGTATTTTCCCTTTCGGTGGCTTTACAAAATTCCACCCTATATTCAAATATGATATCAGTGTATATGTTTGCTTCAACTTTTATTGCGCGACCTATAATTCAGATGACAATGCTATATGATGATGTAATGGACCTAGTTTAATGATGGAGCCAGAAGGTGGTCATAGAAAACGTTTTGAAATTTTTTATTCATCGACAGGTCGATGACGGATCTCGATAACAGAGCGCCCAGCTCTCCCAGCGACCGCTCCAAGTTCCACTTCAAGTTCCCTTCGGTGGCGCTGCACCACGCGCCGCAGGAGCCTGACCGCGAGCCCTACGGTATGTCTCGCGTGGCCTTTTGTTGCAGGACCGACGACTAGACGCGCCCGACGGTAGCGTCGTCTGACGCGCCGCGCCTAAAAAGGCCCGTGGTAGGCTCAAGTTTCTGTGGCATGACCGAGAGAAGTGGTGGTTAATTTAATCACGACACAAGCCTTATTCTGACTGCATAGTTATGAGATCCCTGACTGAAATACCTTGAGGTGTTAAGATCAATTAGGTGTAATTTTACTCTGAAAGCTCTGGTGGAACAAATATCTTAAAATAGCCCTAACTAGTGATTTTACATTGACTGGACTGCAATTTGTTCGCAATCCTTAGCCAAAATGTTGGTGGTAAGCTTCCGATCGCGGGAGAAATAGGCTCCATGCTAGAAATCCATCAAGCTAACAGCTCCATTTATATTAATCATATTTTACATTTTTCTTGTTCCATGCGGGACGACATATTATAGATGTGAAAGCCAAAAAATCAGGGAAAGACAAAAAAGAAGGAAAACCAAAAAAATCTTTTTTTACAAAAAAAGAAGGCAAACCTCAGAAAGAAGGGAACCCTCAAAAAGAGGAGAAAGCCACAAAAGATGAGAAAGCCAAACAAGGAAAAGCATTGAAATTGAGATCCGGTGAGCCGTAATCATTATTGTATAAATGTTTATATTGTTTACAACATTTGTAACTACACACGATTTTTTTATCATTATTACGGTGGCCTCATTGCAACACACATTTTACTGCATCGGTTCGAACAGAGTTGTTTCACTCAAAGTTCTTTGGTTTGATTATGTCCTATGTTTGATGTTTGTTCGTTCCAATTTGAGTTCTACCCATAGTTACAGTATTGCAATTTTATTTTTGTCGGTAGATATTTAAGGGTAACATTTATTGATCAATAGCAGTTGCCAGTGTTGTTGTAACCGATTAGAATCACGTATCTGAGTCAATAATATTCGTATAGCCTGACCAGGAACATAAAAACCCTCGCCATGTTGCGGAAAACTAATGGTACTAATTTCTTTTAATGGCAACAGTAACTTAAAACTTCATTGACATGTCACCTTGCATGTCAGTCTATTGCTGTCAAAGTGTAAACAAACTTTATTTTAAATGTGCGCAATTGGTTTTATGAATTAAATTGCTAAAATATTTTTATAGTCGTGAAAGAAAAGTGGTTCACAATGTGTTAAAGTATTTGTCGAAGAGAAATACTAAGGGTTCGGACAATATTTTCATTGAATAATGTTTCCGACAAAGGTTGTCAAATTGACTGACATGTTTATCGTATAGTACAGTCCACTATGAAAATTAGCTGTGGTTTGTTTCAACTACCTATTTTAAATTTTTTTGTCACTTTCTAAGTGTTGAATTTTATGGGATTGGGAAAGAAGTACCGAGTTTGAAGCGTTCATGAGCAGACATTGCAGTTGAATATTCAAGTTCTGAATTTGATTATTGATGAATAATAAAATAAATTCTACTAGCTTGATTGATGGTTTCATTTAATTTATTTAAATCAGGTTACTTAAAATAATATTTTTTCGTTAATTTATGAAAATATCAAATTAGCACGTAATCCTGAATCCTGATACATAAAGTTAGCCTATTAATTTAACACAGGTACGACTGTACTCAGTGTTGCACTATCAAATGCAATTGACGCGCCTCTATGCCAGGGTTTTTATGTTCCTGGTCAGGCTATAAAGAGGATCAATGCTGATGATCCAGAGTACTATTATCATTTTTTTTTCTTATTCTTCTTCTTCTAACATAGGTATCGAGTTTTAGCTCGCGTCAAAGCGCTATAAAATAACTGGTAGATGAGTTATGTAAACTCAATAGCGCTCTGTTTAGAGAAGATAATAACATGCAGCCGATGTAACTAAATATATTTCAATTTTATCTTTTTTTGTAAACAATCAACATTTTCAGTTTGAGTTACTATTATTTTGTACAAAATCTGATATATTTTATTACAAACCAATCAGGTCTAGCCGCATGCAATCTGTGGCGGAAATTATGTCCAAGTAAGCAAGTAAATTACGTTAGAATGATGACTTTTTTGAATTTACTTATTTACACAGCATAGTGTTTAATACAATATTTAAATAAAATATGCATGCATGATTATTATTTTCCACAATATAAGTTATTCTTTGTATTTACTGATTGATTATGAGGGGTACTACACATAACAAAAGGTCTAAAGAATTTATTTCAACAGTATTCGTTAAACTTTAGTGCAGTATCGGAACTACGTCCGAAGGCATAAAGTCGGGATGCTGCAACGATACAGTCGCAAAATCACCGAATGCTAAAAGTATGTAGCAGGTCTGCTGTCGCCTTTATCGCTCAGGTGTGCCGAAAGGCTTGTATGTGTGGTACCATTCAAATATATTACACTATTATACGATCTATACACGTAGGTACTAACCTGCTATTGATTGGATTCTACATTAAATTACATTACAGACAACCACATTAAATAAATACAACAAGCCAATGACACCGGAACTTGCGAAGTACTACAATGTCACATACATTCATGTTACTTTATTTTTTAAATAAAATACATCTTTATTAGAAATTTTATTTTTCAAGAACCTGTCTCAATTAGAAAAAACTTAAACAGTGTACTCAAATCACTATTATTTAATGAGAATTTTAAGTTTGTGGTGTATTTTAATAAAATGAAAACTATTGAAAACTATAGAACAGTAACTTTAATAAACCAGCCGTAAAAGATATTAATAAATTATTTTAAACTCTGAAATACGAGTATGATCTGAAAATACTGTTTAACTGTTAACTATTTAGTCCTTTACCCACTGTATTTATACCTTAGTTCTTTAGAAATTTCCCTAAATGTAAACAAATATGGCCAACTGACATTGACGAATTTTTAGTCTATGTCAGTTGATCTAGTAGTGATGCGACAAAATCTCTCGTGAATCATCGTCGTGTAAATGTCATTTACGGACTGCAACAGACGATTATTAGATTTTTAAAGATCGTTTGTATAATTATTAAGATCAATCCCTCTTCTGATTGATGTTGAGATCAGTAATGTGATCGTCAAAATAGGATCTTCTTAATCAAAGGAAATTTAATTTTCCCTTTCTTATTTGTTTATACTGTAGGTCTAGACAAAGTTCACAATAAAATCGTAAACCAGTCGAAAAGTGGTCGATAGGCCTTTTTATGTGACACTCGTCTGTATAATAAAGCTGAATTCAAAGACTTCTTCACAAAGTAAAGTGTGTTGTTGCATTCAATGAAGAAAAAATACATTGTTGAATATAACCTCGTTTATATTTTATTTTAAATTAATATTATCAAAATAATTGGTAATTGAAATAATTGAATACTTGAAATAAAATCGATAAAATTTACAAATTATTATCTATGAATATTGTCTATGACTTACAGATTTTCCAGAGATAGGACCTAAATTTAAACGTCAAATGTCGATTTGACATTTTAACATGAAGCACAAATTTTCACCATCCGAATATTTTGTTAAAATATTTTGTTTTCAATGTTAGATTTCATATTTGTTTCATCATGAGAATAAAGTTGGTTTCATGAGCTTGTGAAATAATGTGTATGATATTAAGAAAACGTGAGTATTATAGTGTAATTGTGTGCACAAGTGTTTGTTTACATCGATGGAAAATTCTAAAGAATTTAGGTTTATATTGAACTGTATACGACAGATGGTAAAAAATCTCCTCCATCATGTATGATTTTCGTTTCTTTACTGTACTTTTAGATTCTCATGCATGTCTGTCTATGGTTAATTTTTTATCATAGCATGAGAGTAAATATTGCACGATGCAACATGAAAGTAAGAGCTGTTTTCATTGTTCTCGTAATTAGATATGATTTATTTTAATTATTATGTAGACGTATAGAAATATTATTTTTTAACTGTTTATACGATATGTGATTATGTTAAGCCTGCCAAGAGATGTTTCTTACAGGAAAACCAGAACGCCGCAACTTCAGCGAGGAAGCTAGCCGAGTGCCGAACATTCAAGTAAGTTTATTTATTTATTTAAGCTTTAATTTCATATAATTCGTACATAACTATAAATAAATAAATAAGGCGCCATCTGTTGGTTGGAACGTATGGAACGACAAACGACGGTACATCAAGCTTGAAATACTATCGACTGTAGGGTAAGGTGGGGCACAATATTACACGGGGTACAATGTTACAATGCATATTTCTCCGTCCCTTTCTATTAGTTCTCTATTAAACCTCACGGAAAATAACTCTAGATACGCCAATGGCAGGCACAGCTAAAGCTTATAAATCGGAATAGCATATTTACTGTAATTGCGTCAGTCTTTTATCAAAATCCATCAGACAAAGTCGCAGCAGCTTGTTTGAAAATCAACTTTCCTTACCAGGAGTCATTCACCGAAGAGAGCAAGGCGGCGTATACGAGTCTGATCGAGGAGCCGACTCCATCTACGTCGATGAGGCCGCAAATGGTCTCGGAGCCCAGGTTTACGGAGTCCAAGTGTGGGACCATCCCGAAGCAAGGGCCTCGCCTCCCCGCCAGGAACCAGTTCAACTCGCTGCAGGTCCCTAAGACTTCAACTTCAACTCACAGGTATACATTTATTAGTCCACTCATACTATAGATCATTTTATCATATATCATGTAACATAATTGTAAGAGTGTCCACTTGTCCATCGGTTCTTCAATTCTGTAGAAATGATTTGCAAATGACAAAAAATACGTGAAATGTGTTGTAATACCTAGTTCAATTGTCTTTTCAGGCAACCATCTCCAAAACGTGCCAGTGGTCACCAAAACTTCGAACAAGATGTAAGTAATCACTTGTCAAGTAATCAAAGTACTTATATCATCATCAGTAAGTGATTAGTAGTATCATAAAAGACACGGCAAACCAGCGTCGTGGTGCTACGCACTGCGGCATTATGCTGAGTGAAAGCCTTTTTGGCTATATTTTAAATTAATAAAAAAAATTGACCCTTAAATGTATTTGTGCTATTCCTTACATTTTCTTACCATTTCAGAGCGTGAACGAACTGCCGCTGCCTCCGCGTGCAAACAAGCCCAAGCTTGTTGACAAGCCACGTCACATCAGAAAATACCCGTTGCTGCTGCCCGAAAGGGAGGCCAGGCCGGCAGACACCGGCCCTCCGGTCCAGCCGCGCCCGATCATCTACCAGAACGCCGTCACCCAGCCAAAGAAACACCCCGCCCCAAAGAAAGGAACGGACGCTCTCGACGGACCGGGCCCGTCCAACATCAACCCCTTCCAAGACGTAGCGGGACCCAGCTGGGCTAACCCGTTCGATGGCTACGTAGAACCGGTGCAGTTCGAAGACGACTCTGACAGCGACGGAATGGCCGAAGCGGCGGCAGCACAATCTTTAGTGCGAGGTAATAAGATTACCTTTTTATTGGACTATGCTAATCACATTCCTCTAGGTAACTGTATGGTTCGTGGTTCCGCACCGGGCATGATTAGTTGCTTTACTCATTTTCTAACCATCTCCAAAAAGGAAACGCGTTCTTAATTCGTTTGTTCTATGCATGTTTCTTTTATTCCGACATTAAAGGTGGACACGCACCTGTCCATGCCGCACGCGCCGCAGTCATCGCATTTTATAAATCTTTTCGCGATGCTTTAAATGTTTTTACTAACTAAATATATATAACTCAAAGGTAACTGACTGACTGACAGACATAGTGATCTATCAACGCACAGCCCAAACCACTGGACGGATCGGGCTAAAATTTGGCATGCAGGTAGATGTTATGACGTAGGCATCCGCTAAGAAAGTATTTTACGAAACTCCACCCCTAAGGGCTCGTTTCATTATAAAGATTTATAAAATGATGACTGCGGCGCGTGCGGCGCGTTTGCTGCGGGCGAATTCGCGAGGCTATGAGAAAATGCGATGACTGCGCCTTATACCAATTGGCTATTATTATTTTCAATCCACTTACGAGGAGTTCTTACTTTACTTTGATCGAGTTTGGTCATCTTGTTCTTATGCAATGCATCTTCGGTTATTTCCTTTGAAGTTCTGCTAAAGTCTACACTAACCACAAACGCATTCATTACACTTTAAATTTTAATTCATATGTATTAATGCTGCACCTCTACCCCCTTATCACAAAAAGATTGACTCTGGTTTAAATTGACTTTTAGTATGGAAATGTCATTTTAAACCAGTTAGTCCCGGATTTAACTTTTTTGTAATAAGGCCCCTGGCCCTAGTCCCTTAGCAAAAGCTTGTACTAGGCAACGGATATAAACACACTTAAATACTTTTTTTGTAAATACATACATATTATACATAGAAAACACCAAGTCCAATACAACTAAATATGTTAATGCACACACATGTTTGTACTGTGCGGGAATCGAACTCGCGACACTCGGCATAGTAGTCCGTATCGAAGCACACCAAAATGCAAAATAAATACCTGGTCGTTGTTCTAAAGAAGTTCTCGACGCTTCAACTTATCATTTTGCAAACACATTCAATCTTTAAAAACGTTTATCTACAAAACAGATCTGATAGTTTGGATTATGATCATAATTATATCAACGGATTCATATAAAAGAGTAAAATGAGGTCGAGTCATTTTATTTCAGATTTTTCTCGTATTCCAACTCCAGCTATTCAAAAAGACAAGAGGTTTTATCTATGCATGATCTGGTCACTTAAAATGTAGTCTGATTCTTAATTCCTCACAAACTTGGGGCTTCACATTATTAACCTGCAATCTTGTACAGTCTATTATAGTTCCAGTTGTTCATTTTTGGATGTGTTTCCTGCATTCTGTGTGACCTTTTCAGACTGCTCAGACCACGTATCAGTAGAGGATTTACTGGAATTCGCAGATCAGAAGCCATGCGGACGCCAGCGTGGCGTCGAGTCGGATGAAGTCAGGATCATGTGCAAAGTCCTCAAACAGCAGGTCAGTCGTCGTTGGACTAGGGCCTTGTTGGCGAGAGAGGGTGTAAGCTGGCTTCCAGCAATATAAAGGAGCGACGCAAGATGTAGTATAGACGTTACGACAACTCTAATCATTCATTCATTTATTCATTTCATCATTCATTTTCATAAGAATCAAGAAGCTGCTACAAATTCATTCCATTCCTGGTACCAGAATTATGTACTTTGCATCTGTCACACCAGACACGATATAAAATCTACTGTCTGACGATTACCGGTATTATCACTACATTATTATAAAACAAAGTCGCTTCGCTGTCTGTCTGTCCCTATGTCTAGATCTTTAAAACTACGCAACGGATTTTGATGCGTTTATTTTAAATAGATAATTATTCGAGAGTAAGGTTTTATACCTGTGCGAAGCAGGGGCGGGTAAATAAAGCGTACCAAAAGTACAATTTGAGCGTGTTATTTCCAAGTATTGAAAGACGGCAGCAGGTGGTGAGAACATTCCGTGACGTTTGTATACCATTTCAAAAAAAAACTAATTGAAAATGATTTTTCAAGATTTTATTGTACTGTCGCGACATAATAGGATTTAGGTGTTTCAAAATATTCGGTCTTCTTATTCGCCCTTTGTGCAGTCAGGGTCAAATAATTAGTGACATCTAAAGTAGCCGAAAAGTTCTCAACACATCTTTGTTACAATTCGAATAAGGTTGTGTTGTCTTTTTGGCTTAACGAACTATTTGACGCTGACTGTGCCATATGTTGTGCACATAAAATAATTATATTTAATATCCCTTCCAGGTGAGCCCCGAAGAATGTTTGCAAGCGCTAGAGCTGAGCGATTGGAACGTCCACAACGCGATCAAGCTGATGAGAGTCAAGCTCACGGCGGGGCCCGACGTCGCACTGGAGGAGTGTGGGGCCCAACTGGCCACGGCGGCGGGGGACATCGTCAAGGCTCTGGCCGCGCTCATGATCACTAAGCCTGACAAGTAAACTTATATCGTCATCAGCCGGCTGATAAGTAAACGTCGAATCGTATATCATCATGCTTTGGCCGGGCTGATGATCTTTAAACCTGCTGACAAGTAAACACTAAACTAAAGGTATATTGTCTTAGGCAGGCTGATAATGATCGTATATCATAGTCACAAGCTCTGACCCCGCTGATGATCAGAGCCGGCTGATAAGTTAACGGAAAACTTGTGTCACCAATTCATCATAAACGGGAAACTTATCGCCATGAGCCAGCTGATAAGTAAACAGGGAATCCTATATCATCATAATAAGCTGATAAGTAAACTTATCTTCATCATTATGATCGTGAAAATGCGATTACGCTCAAGAACAGTATTGATATTTTGATAAACGCAACGGTTAACGAGTCATCTTCATCATGAACAATTTGATTGTTAAAATATCTCATTGACCTTTTGAAAAACTTTTTTAAATCATAATTTGGTGTACGTGTGAATTCTAAATGTTATGCGTTATATCATTAGAGTAACATATCTAATGGTTAAAAATTTGATGGTAGTAGTCAATAAGATAATTCAGGAATACAATAATAATACTAACATATAACACCAACTTTTCGAATTAGCGTGTTTCTATCTTGGGATGTGATTTAATATAATTATTTACATTGTTAACATACGAAAGCGGCAAATTTGTCCCACCCCTCTAAGGCTGTGCGTAAGCTCAGAAGTTCTATCATATGTGCATAGGACCGTACGCGCAGCTTTTCGTAAACCATGTCCAATAAAATAGTGTTGTCTATTGTTTTGCCTTCTCTTGTCTTTTATTGCGACAGGAGAACACAAAACACGTTTTACTATTAACTTGATAAATAACGTTTATTTAATAAATGTTTATAAAGTAGTACATGGATGGCGTAGACATCGATTTAGTCAATTTTTGAGAATGTTCGTAACCTTTTTTTACTACATATCTATTTGATATGTTTTTGATTAACGTGCTATTTAATCGATGTTAGTGTTGCTCATGAAGTTATATCATTATTGTCGTTGTAGTCAGCGTCAAAAGTGACGGCTTTTCTACAATCCAGGGAATAACTTTAAACCCTTTTGAAACCTCCACTCTGATTAGAGCGCTGGTCGCGCGATAACTGTTTTTACATACAAAACATGCAATAAATGTGAATCGACAATAATTTACATTTGCTCTTCTGTGTGTTCTGTTACTTTTGACGCTGAATTTATTAATTAATTCGTAAATAAAATATAGTATGAAATGAAAATGGTGGTGCAGAACGTGTATTTTTGTAAGTGCGCCGGAACTGACTGATTGAGAATAAGTATTATGTATTTGAATGTCACTGCGTAGATGCAGTTGTTAGGGGTATAAAATATAAATTATACATGTAACTATTACGTAATTATAGTATTTGCGGTTAGCGGGGCGTAGGTACTACTACTAATGCTGTATTGTATTTACCCCCGGGGAAGAGGCGAAGCGTGTCCCTCATTCCCCTCACTGATGAGGACTAATTATAGTGTTCCACCACAGACTGCGAATGAGGTGTGGACCGAACTATGCAAACGAAGTGTGTTAAGGAGCTAGAAAAGGAAGAGCTACTATGCATTTATTGAGTTAGGCCCACTGGCATATCACATTAAACTATATTCACTTTCGAATATTTCTAAGAATATTTAAAATATAAATGTTTAGAGTTAAGAGGCATTGAAACACATTTTTGATGTTATTGATGAACATAAACTTTCCTTCTTGACTAATAAGCCGAAAATCAATAGAAATAATAATATGAGTGTAGCAGTGCAGTGGGCCTTGTAGGACTTTACTCGTAATGTGTAGATTTGTTAGCTTTACAATTCCTGATTTGCGGAGCTGCGCTCATGTAGGACTAGGAGATAGCTTTATATGTGTATTTATATTATATATACACGATCCCGTTATATGTATAAAAACCATACACATCAACCGCCAGATGAACAGTATTACGAATTATCATAAATGAATTTAAAAAAATAGTTTTTGGTAAAAGCTGGTCTTTTTTTAAATGCCTATATTTTTGTAGTGGCTTTATAAATACATTATACAATTATATATTTTTTATAAGGTAAATAGATGGAAATGTAACGGGATCTTAGACTTTAGAGTAGTATCTTACGGTTGTAACATATGATTATAACCTCGGTAGCCATTTGAGTTTTTTTTTTCATGTTGCCAATAATATTTGTGCGTAGGTTAGCCATAATTTGCCGTATCTAAAATTCCCGTGATAGATCTCAGATCTTATTATACTTACGTGCAACGTGCAGCTAAATGCTATCGAATTTTAATTTTTTTAAATTTTACAATTTTTGTAGATAACTAAAAATTAATCGTATATTTATTCTATGTATGTCGCAAATATTTTATAATCGTAGTGTGGAAATTACCACAATATTCTGCTATAAATATAGTAATATTGTCTAGAATTTAATCAACAAAAATAATTCATAATACCATCTTTGTGACAATATTGCTGACTTGACTGAAAATGAAGGCGCGAATAATGCGTCTTTCTTTAGCGTGGTGCTAGACGTGTATTGAAAGAATATATTTATTTATTGTAAAACGCATTTTACGGTATGATCAGTATTGTTAGCGATATCTTGAATATTTTGCTAAATTGGTATTATTTTACAATAATACAGATAGGTATAGAGGACGATTTGGGGCAGTGAAGTGAAGGAAGGTTTTCTGCCTCTCTATACTGTTCCGTTTTTAAGAATACACAAAAAAAACCTTTCCCTTCGGCTTTTCCCTGTAGTTTCAAAAAAGGAAATTATAGCGAATAGACTAACATAGTGCGAATAATTCATATCAGAGGTGCTTTGCTATCGAATATTTCAAAAAACATTTACGCAATTTGTTGATGTGTGAAACATGTCGAATTTATATCCTATATGTATGAACTTTGAATGTATAAAAATATTCACTTTTGGGAAGAGCAATTACATCATCTTCTTCCAATATAAATGATTTATGAAAAATACTGGAAATTAATGTTGATGAAGTATGTACTTTCGGCAATGTTTGGCTAGGGACCTCGAATATCCTGGTAAGCAAGGTATACGGAACTAACAACAAGACTAAATTTTAACTATTAAAAAAAATAACTGGCGTTCCTAAATATCTTAGGCCAATTAAATGTATCTTGATGTGAAGACGATATTACATTTCGGATATTTGTTAGATACTAATTGTACTACTTTTAATGTTTACAAACGTGATGTAGTCTTTTGTAAACTGCAGTATGTGCACTTGTAGAACGCATACAGTTGAGAAAAACATATGCATAAGCAATTAACGTTCGTAAGTATTATTACATTTACAGTATAGTCGAGTTCATAAATATATTGGCAGTGCCCAGTGTTTCAAAATATTGAAGCGCAGTAATGCAATTAATTAATGAACAGTTTGTTTCCATTTTATTGATTGATAAAAATCAGCGTCCAGGCATTAGCTGAGACGGAGACTTTTTGCTGCCGCAACTCTGCGCGAATTTTTTTTCTTTAATTTATTATTATATTAAATGTGCATTAATTAATGTACTTTTGTTAAACAATTATGTAACTTTGTGCAGCAAATAAATTATTACTTACTTACTGATGTTTAGTTTGTATTGAAAATGTGATCGTTAAAACGCTAACAATATTTTGAAACATTGGCACTGCCAATTTATATTGTACTTCACTCCTACTCTCTAGTATTAATTCAAATCTCTGTCTAGCTATAAAGTTTAAATTCGCTTAGGAATAATAAATGTGTGTAGTACTCTTCACTTCACTACAAGAACTATCAGTGCACATACTGATCATATTGATGTACTTAAATGTGTAGGTTTTTAATGTAGTATTTGTAGATTATAAGACAACCGTGATTGGTATGTCAAACAATAATGTATGAATTCACCGTTTATCGAATATCTACTAAAGTCCGAGCGCTGTGGTATGGTGTAGTTGAATGTGACAGTTTATTGAGAATTAGTAAAATTTTATCGAATTAGATCCTTAAGAGCTATCAACATGTTTTAAGCTTTTAATACAAATCTAGTCTTTGAAACAATGTAGTGATATCTTAATGTCTGTTATCAATTTTTTTTATGGACTACCCCACGGAATTGGGTATTTGCCACCAGTTCCCAATAATTCTAAAGCATGACTTTTTTAAACAAGACATTCTGGTCTTAAAAACTTAAACAATTTTAAATTACCTGTAAATTAAGATTTTTGGTTGCATTGTAATTGAAAAAAGTAGTTTATTTGACTTGACAACATAGTGACGTCACTGGCTAGTATTGCCATACAAAATATATGGTAGTCTCGTTTTGACCGTTTTAAAAAGTACGTCAATTGATTGGTGGTAGCAAATACCCTATTGCGCATATTTTATCGACACAAAGAAACGTGTGCTTCAAATTCGCACCATTGAAGCCATTAGACAGAATAATAATAATAATTGATTTGACTGACAGCTGTCACCTGCACCAGGCTAGAACGCACGAACTTTATCCAACCGCTTTTCGGAAACCTCATATTGCTGTTAACGAAGCAGTAGATGATCGACTCCTTTAAATCTAGTCCAAAAGCATTTATGTTAAGTTCTTGCACCTCACGAAGGCGAGTGAACTTTACTTGTGTGTACGTGTACATGCACATTTCCATAGTGCGATGTCTGTCAAAACTTTTGATAAACGAACGATCAGGGGGCTCAGAGTGTGAATTTACATCAAACGTATTCAATAAGATTAAATGTATGATGGATTGTACAGCGTCCCTAACGGATACTTTCATGAGCTAAAATTTTCATTGATTTTTTGACGCACTCGTTATCGAATACGTTTAACTTTGATGTAAACTCAAACTGCGCGCTCAGTAGCGAGCGAGCGAACTTTCGCTAAGTCACAAGTATCGTGCGATTCGCGCCGCTAATTACAAGAAAGTACTGTCTGCATGTAAAAATGCATGCATGTTTGCAGCGTTTAAAAAAGTTTATATAAAATATAGTATTAACTAAAACATTCTCTTAACTTTTTTTACTCGACTGCCCCAGAAGGAGGGTTATGTTTTTTATGTTAACCGTATACGTTCATGTGTTACACACACACACATTGACGCGTGTACTGATATGTGATTAACCACATGTAAAGCTCACTCGCCTTTGTGAATTGCAACAACTAAGGGTGGATTCGACCAAACAAGAGTAAATAATAATCTCAGATTAAATTGTCAATTTTCCCATACTGAAACTGTCAATGTGGCAGTTATACCAGGAGTTATTCTCGGATAAAAGTTTGGTCGAATCGGGCCTAAATCGATATGGAATCATATACACGGTGCTACTTTGGTATTCTTGCCATATTCACAGAGATAAAAGTAGGGAACAACACCTATTATTTTAGTCAAGAGACTCCCATAAAAAAGCACACAGAGTTGCGCCACCTAACTTTAACCGAAACTATAACGTTAACCGGTGTTTAATGTATGGAGTTTGACAGATTTTTGACGTTTGTCAAAGTCAAAGTAAGATCAGGCCTGTTCATCTCCGCGAGTTTACATCGAAAATGTACTTTTTTAAGTTGCCTCAAGACACTGAGAGGTAAATAAGTAGTTAATATTATTCATGATAATTCATGCTAAATCATGTATTTCCTCCGCCATTTTCCGCAGTTTGGCACCTCACGTCACATCATTTTACCGAAGTCAGCCCTATAGCTTCGGCGCAGTGCCGATCACTGACGTTTGTCAACAAAATGATGATGATGTGCTTGACTCTTGAGACAGGCTAAATTACACCATATTGTTAATGACATTGAGCATACATTTTTTTAAATACCTTCGCGAAGTAAAACTTCTGTACGTAGTACTTATTATTATTCTGTGGTAAGATGCACCATTTATACACAGTTTTTAGTAAATTGGAATAAACGTCAGCTTTTTACAAAAGTGTCAAAAAGAATTTCGAAAACAATAAATTGCCATACGAATTTAAAAATATAAAATTTTAGGGCATTTTTTTTAATTTTTAGTTCTCAGTGTCATTTAATATACCTAGTAAATATGGCAAGAATGCAAAGTAACATCGTATATATAAAGTTGCTATAAAATTAGTCCTACTTATAAAATTTCAAAACTAAACTCGATTAATAACAAAATGTTTTATTCCATAATTAAAACAATGTGCGCATCTAAGTATCCATTTTTCATAACATAAACACATTCTAATATCTGTAAATAGGTGTCTAATTTGTTTTAGTATATTCCCAACTTATTATAAGTACCTACGTATTATCTAGATGTTGTGTGTGTCAATTTTCTAATAAAATGCATTCTACGAAGAACTGCTCAAAATCAATTTTGTTTTTATTTCACATTCCGACCCTATATTCGTCTTTTATTTTGTGGTGCTATAATCATTCTTGTATTGAAAAGTTGTGGTACATTTTGAACACCATTTTTCATATCATATCTCAGTAAGGATTGATACGAGTTGCCTTTTCACATTAATTTATATCATAACGAAGTCCATTATTATCCTGTGATTATAGACACAAAATTACTATAGTCTTATAATAACACAGTTTTATTCTAAGGTTAACTTGAAGAGAATGTCAAATGGCATTAAGTTCGCCCAATTTATGTCGTGATCAACATAAATATTGTAATGTTAAAATTAATTATTTGGATTGATAGATGGATAGGTAATGTATTCATTATAACAACTCTTTCCAGTATACAGGGTGTAACAGGGGGGGGTGTGGATCATCGTAAGTCAAATTCAAATCAAGATTTTTGTGAAAAAGTAAAAAGCCGGAATTTAGTATAAGTCTTTACTGTAGCTTAACTACTGGACCTGCTTGGATGATTTTTTTTCTAGAAGTAGTTCAATAGTGGGTCTTAAATAAATTTAAAGTAAGTAAGGGGTAATTTTAGTATACTATTTAGAGTAGCAGCCTCGCACGCCGACCGAAGTAGGTGTGTGTGTATAAATAAAATCGTTTAAGAAGCTTTGCGAGTGGGTAACTTTGCTTAGGGTCTTAACTGGAAGTATCTGCGATCCGGAACAACTGCCAAGTCTCCGGGCAATCTGCCGCGAGTTGTTAATGCAATGCCGGACTTTTATATTCACAGGCTTAGGAAAGTTACCGATATTTTATTTTAATCGGTGTGTAGGTAGGTACAATTGGTGAAGTGTGGGTCAAACCAGTAAAATATACGGAACAATACTGCGCACGCACGAGATAGGTAACGTTATATTGATTATTATTTATTATCGATTTACCTTCTTCTTATTTTAATTTCTGTTTTGTAACGTGAACATTACAGATTTTGGCCTAGGACCTTGTATTATCAGTTCCATTTCTCATCATAAGAAGACTGAAAACACGGATCACAAAAACTAAGGACTGAAAATCATCGAGGTAAGTAAACATCACATCCGTGTAACATATCGAATCCACGAATCCTTGAAATACCTAGCTCCACATTTTCGTAGCGGCTGAATGTAGTCAACGAGTTGTGACGAGACGTCCTATTCGAACATGGTACTCAAGTTTAAACCTTGCTGCAATGCAGTAAGAACGCTTACGATTCAAGCGGAGCCGTCGAACCGCTAATTCGTAGCGCGAGCGACACCACGAATTAGGTCAATGGGAAATGGACGTGTTTCCATTAGCTGCTACGGCACCGGCAAATGTATTATTATGTTACAGTCAAAACTCATAATCGGTCAGAACTACTAAAACTTTTTGACTGCAAAAATCAATTAAAAGTGGTTTTGACTGGTGCCCTTGCTTGGTCAATATCACTTTTGACTGTCCACTTGCGTATTTCTCTCGATATACATGAATGTATCTATCTATGTCTTTCCTGCTTGTATACCTTTCAAATAAAGTTTTCTTTTCTTATTCTATTCTTCCAGTTAAAAGTGGTTTTGACCAAGCAAGGGCACCAGTCAAAACCACTTAACAGATTTTTGCAGTCTATAGTCTTTGTGGTTTCGATTCAAATCGGGCAGTCCCCGACGAACGAGTTTGTAAATTGAATGAATATCATACCTACTACATTTTCCCCCATCTGCCATATCGATGCCGTTCCGTGCCGACTAGTGGAATCACGTCCAATGGATCGTTCCCCTTCGTAGGTATTAGGGTTGCCAGTTGTCACTACGAGTGGGGGCTGGGAATGTTTTATTAAACTAGACTAGAGGAATGTCAGTTGCCGAGGGCATTTCCCTGTAGACCCGTCTATTCAAGATTCGAGAAGATTATGGCATAACAAAGATTTGTTTGGCTTCATCTGCTATTAGAGTTGAATTTGTCTAGCAAATACAGGGCGAGTTGACATCCATGATTGACCTCGTAACATTTTCAAGTAATTTGTGTGTTACAAGATATTAATTTAGGGTATCATTGTTCTACTTCCCTCAATAGAATATTATTCATCTTCCTCATTGTTGGTGCGTTTCATTATAGTATCGTCTCGTAAGTAGGTGGATGGAAATTTTATATAGTGTGTCGTAAACCAGGCACATCTGGCAACCCTGGTGGGTCTTACGGCCCCTATCTTCGGGCCGAGGTGCGGTTTGGTCAGCACTAACAGGCGAATGCTCGTATAGCAGTTTTATTTTAGTAGTAATCTCGTAGGTAGGTACCTATAATAAGAAAGGTTCTTGTTTCATTAAAATATTGCTCATAATCTCTCGATGTAAACGTTATCTCCAGAGAGATATGTCATGTACTATTGAATTTTATAGTTACGAATACGTTCTTATCTAAACCTAACTTGATTTATAAATACGGCTAGCACGAAAAACTTTCGAGTTCAAATCGTTTGCGTATTCGAATCGCCATCAAAAGATTTAGTACGAAAACTACAACAGCGCTCTTGTGAACGTGTCGTAAAGTATGAGAAATGGTTGCACGAAACTTATTTTAAGAATCAAAATTGTGACGTTATCGTTTAATTCGAAGGTTGAGTATCGAATTTTGTCGAATACGCAAACGATTCGAACTCGAAAGTTTTTCGTGCTAGCCGTACTGTATAAATAAATCAGTGAAGTCCAACCAACTATTTTTAGAAAATAGGTATTGTGGGTGATTTCTAATTCTAATAAATTAGTTTTGTTGGATTAGGGACATGAATCCAGTTAGACAATTCTGTTGTCGCGAGTTTCGGTCGCGCGAGACCGAGGCTTAACTTTTGTAGGTCGTTGTTAAAATATTGCTGGGCCCGATCCATTTAGTTCATCTGTATTCAAAGGGCTGCTCTAGTACCGACGTTATTCTGATCACACTGGCACTTGTTTAATGAGAAAATAGGCCGCGGAAACCAGCCTCATC